TCAAACATGGCCACACGAGGCGTGAAATTAGTAACAGCCCTTATGAATTTCCATGGTCAAACAGTAGATATACTGTATAATTGAGGATGATCCATTTGCACACTGACACTCAGGCATAGACATAGACAGCCCTGGCGTGGCTGCAGACGGGTCTATGTGGGTCTGGCTCTCTGTCAAGAAGCCGGTGTGGGGAGGCTCCCTGTCCCATCATGCAACAGGACATAAGAGGCCAGCCTGTACTGTGGCATAAGGAATCAGTGTTCCCTAAAAACCAATACTCACCACTCTCCACCTCTCAGACACCACTCTGGCTCTACAGTGTACATTTGGATATGATTATGTAATAAAAGTGAAAGCAGTAATACCCTCTTTAGGCGCACTTTCTTCTCCCCAGAGCCTAATTGGTCGACCGGCCGCCTCTGGTGCCAGTGCACTTGGGTCAGTGGTGGCCATCTTGGTTTTCCTGGGAAGAAACCAGGGCCTTGTTCCTAGTATATGGTTTACAAGGAAAGAGAACTAGAGGAAATCTGGGGTGAATAGGTTTGTGTAAAGAACGCAGCGGCATGTCATTTAGCCCCGGTTTCCATGGTGAGCCGTTTAGAACATTTAGAACCATCAGAGAGGGATGTAAGCTTCGGGAAAAAAGTTGGATAAACTCTGTGTGTGTCGTTGTTTGTCCTGACTAAATTAGCCACATAGTCAATGGTAAAAAAGGAAACGTGTCCAGTTGGAGACTTACAGTGAGCTTCGAAAGTATTGGGACAGTGAACATTTAGTTGTTGTTTTGGCTCTGTACTCCAGCACTTTGGGTTTGAAATGATACAATCACTATAAGGTTAATGTGCAGACTGTGAGCTTTAATTTGAGGGTGTTTTCATCCATTTCGGGTGAACCGTTTAGAAATTGGGACAAATTAACTTATGTGTACTAAAGTAGTCAAAAGTTTAGTATTTACATTTTACATTTTAGTCATTTAGCAGACGCTCTTATCCAGAGCGACTTACAGGAGCAATTAGGGTTAAGTGCATTGCTTAAGAGCACATCGACAGATTTTTCACCTAGTCGGCTATTTGGTCCAATATTCCTAGCATGCAAAGATTACATCAAGCTTGTGACTCTACAAACTTGTTGGATGCATTTTCTGTTTGTTTTGGTTGTGTTTCAGATTATTATTTTGTGCCCAATAGAAATGAATGGTAAATAATGTAGTGTCATTTTGGGGTCACTTTTATTGTAAATAACAATAGAAAATATATCTAAACACTTCTACATTAGTGTGGATGCTACCATGATTACGGATAATCCTGAATGAATCGTGAATAATGATGAGTGAGAAAGTTAGACGCACAAATATCATACCCCTAAGACATGCTAACCCCTTCACCATTACAACAGGGGAGGTTCCGTTTTGGGGTGGGAGGGATGATATGTATGCCTCTGTAACTTTCTCACTCATTATTCATAGTGATTTACAATGTGATACAAATGTGTGTTCCTGTATAGCTAAGCTACGTGTAGCTAAGCTAGCTATAACAGCTCCAACTTTCACTCTAGTCTCAGTGTATGATTAAAACATCACTTTTGATCCACTGTTTTGTCGCCTGGCAAAATATTTAAAAATATATCAATGAACTGTGCCTTTAACTGCCTACCTGTAACTCTACATATATCATTCACCAGTCTATTCCCATAATTCAGTTCAAGAGATGATTTCCAGTACGTCCAGTTTGCAGACATCCCAATAAGTTGGCATAGCAACATTATGGGGGCCATAAATTGAGGTATAAATTGCATAAACACATACACTACCGTTCAAAAGTTTGGGGTCACTTAGAAATGTCCTTGTTTTCGAAAGAAAAGCTATTTTTTATCCATTAAAATAACATCAAATTGATCAGAAATACAGTGTAGACATTGTTAATGTTGTAAATGGCTATTGTAGCTGGAAACGGCTGATTTTTTATGGAATATCTACATAGGCGTACAGAGGCCCATTATCAGCAACCATCAGTCCTGTGTTCCAATGGCACGTTGTGTTTGCTAATCCAGGTTTGTCATTTTAAAAGGCTAATTGATCATTAGAAAACCCTTTTGAAATTATGTTAGCACAGCTGAAAACTGTTGTGCTGATTAAAGAAGCAATAAAACTGGCCTTCTTGAGACTAGTTGAGTATCTGGAGCATCAGCAATTGTGGGTTCGATTACAGGCTCAAAATGGCCAGAAACAAATAACTTTCTTCTGAAACTCGTCAGTCTATTCTTGTTCTGAGAAATGAAGGCTATTCCATGCGAGAAATTGCCAAGAAACTGAAGATCTGGTACAACGCTGTGTACTACTCCCTTCACAGAACAGCGCAAACTGGCTCTAACCAGAATAGAAAGAGGAGTGGGAGGCCCCGGTGCACAACTGAGCAAGAGGACAAATATATTAGTGTGTCTAGTTTGAGAAACAGGCACCTCACAGGTCCTCAACTGGCAGCTTCATTAAATAGTACCCGCAAAACACCAGTCTCAACGTCAACAGTGAAGAGGCAACTCCGGGATGCTGACCTTCTAGGCAGAGTTGCAAAGAAAATGCCACATCTCAGACTGCCCATCTTAATATTTTATTTTTATTGGTCAGTCTGAGATATGGCTTTTTCTTTGCAACTCTGCCTAGAAGGTCAGCATCCCGGTGTAGCCTCTTCACCGTTGACTCTAAGACTGGTGTTTTAGGGGTACTATTTAATTAACCTGGACCTGTGAGGCGTCTGTTTCTCAAACTAGACATTAATGTATTTGTCATCTTGCTCAGTTGTGCACCGGGGCCTCCCACTCCTCTTTCTATTCTGGTTAGAGCCAGTTTGCGCTGTTCTGTGAAGGGAGTAGTACACAGCGTTGTACCAGATCTTCAGTTTCTTGGCAATTTCTCGCATGGAATAGCATTCATTTCTCAGAACAAGAATAGACTGACGAGTTTCTGGCCATTTTGAGTCTGTAATCGAATCCAGAATCGCTGATGCTCCAGATACTCAACTAGTCTCAAGAAGGCCAGTTTTATTGCTTTTTTATAATAATAATAATAATCAGCACAACAGTTTTCAGCTGTGCTAACATAATTGCAAAAGGGTTTTCTAATGATTAATTAGCCTTTTAAAATGATAAACCTGGATTAGCAAACACAACGTGCCATTGGAACACAGGACTGATGGTTGCTGATAATGGGCCTCTGTACGCCTATGTAGATATTCCATAAAAAAATCAGCCGTTTCCAGCTACAATAGCCATTTACAACATTAACAATGTCTACACTGTATTTCTGATCAATTTGATGTTATTTTAATGGACAAAAAAATAGCTTTTCTTTCGAAAACAAGGACATTTCTAAGTGACCCCAAACTTTGGAATGGTAGCGTATGTAGACTATATATTTAGTGACTAGGCCCTGCCTTCCATAATACAGCCATTCATTTCTATGGAGGGCTGTAAAAAAAAAAAGAAGCAGTCTTTTCCCCTGACAGACAGTGAGAGGCTGTGTCAACAGAGCCCTGAGCGGAGGAGAGGAGATTGAAGGCTGAGTGAAAGGAGCCATTATGTTTAGCCCTGTGGTCCCACGTCATGATGGAGGAGAGTGATGAGTAGAAGCATTAACGCCAGGGGAGGGACTATTACAGTGCAGCATACAGCTAAACCCCATATAGATGACTGGAGAGTTTGGATAATCCCCTGCGGCTCATTGCTGTCTCCAAGTGACAGCGCCATCTGTTGGTTGTGGAGATTAACTGCAGGAGTGAATGGCAGGAATCCATCAATGAGAATTCATTTATCCCACCTTCTTAAAATGAAGTCTGGAGTTTGTGTGCTTGTATTTGTGTGTTACTGTTAATGTCCGTTGGAAATATTGTAATGTTCTCTTTCTCTTTATCAGACCAGGGTTCAAATTATATTTATATTGTATTTCAATTACTTTCAAATACATTTTGAAGGGTTCGATCCCAGGCTGTGTCACAACCGGCCGTGACCGGGAGTCCCATAGGGCGGCGCACAATTGGCCCAGCGTCGTCCGGGTTAGGGGAGGGTTTGGCCGGGGGGGCTTTACTTGGATCATCGCACTCTAGCGACTCCTTGTTGCGGGCTGGGCGCCTTCAGGCTGACTTCGGTCGTCAGTTGAACGGTGTTTCCGCGACACATTGGTGCAGCTGGCTTCCGGGTTAAGCGGGCGGGTGTTAAGAAGCGCGGTTTGGCGGGTCATGTTTCTGAGGACGCATGACTCGACCTTCATCTCTCCCGAGCATATTGGGGAGTTGCAGCTATGAGACAAGATCGTAATTGGATATCACGAAATTGGGTAAAAAAATAAAAAGTACAAGTAGTTGAATATTGAATTGTATTTGGAAATACACTTGGAAAGTCTTGGCATGTATTTTAAAATACAAATATTGAAATATTGAAATACTTGAACCCAGGTCTGTTTGGTCCTAGGGGTATTTGAAATGTATTTGGAAACAACTATTTCAAAAAAGTTGTAAATAGTATTTATAGGAAATTATTTGAAAATACTTTTATATATAATATAAGTAGTTGATTTGGCCACATTATTTAAAAATACTCAAATACACAGAAAACAAGTATTTCAAATACAAATACTTTTAACATATGTCTGCTCTTTATTAATATATGAATATACTTACCAATAAACAGTACTATATTGTGATACGTCTGTGTCATCCTTGTGGGTTTGTTGAATTAGGACTACTAAATTAATAATGAAATACTAATGATTTTTTTTATCAAACATTATAATGCGCTTGTAATGTAAGCATTCTGACGTAGTCAAACAGAGTAACTAATGCCAGATGACGGGACTGTAATGTATGAACCGAGCCTTGTGACAATATTTCTGGCTCAGGGAGTCTTATTTGAGAATCCCTATTTCAGGTGTGAATGCAGCCTCATTCAGAGGGGTGTTTCAAAATCATGAAGGTATTTTGGAGTGTCATAAATCAGCCTTTATAAAAGTACACCAGGGTCTGTCTGTCTGCCTGTCTGTGAGTGTGTGTGTGTGTGTGTGAGTGTGTGTGTGTGTGAGCATGTGTGAGTGTGTGTGTGCGTGTGTGCACGTGCATGCACACGTATATGTACACAGTATAACCGTTTGTTTTAAGTTTTAATGTCACGTGCACAAGTACAGTGAAACGCCTTTCGTGCAAGCTCTAAAACCAACAATGCAGTAATCAATAACAATGTAATACTAAAAATAACAAGGTAGAACAAAAACTAGGAGAACACGAGAAAGTAAGTAAGCATATACAGGGTCAGTGCCAGTACCATATTAACAATGTGCAGGGATACTGGAGTGATGGAGGTAGATACTGAATAGGGGTAAGGTGACTATATACAGGGTCAGTGCCAGTACCATATTAACAATGTGCACGGATACTGGAGTGATGGAGGTAGAGATGCATAGGGGTAAGGTGACTAGGCATCAGGATATAACATAAACAGGGTAGCAGCAGTGTATATGATGATTGTATGTGAGTGGGTGTGTGTAGAGTCAGTATAAATGTCTGTGCATATTATGTGTGTGTGAGAAAATGATGGAGTGAGTGTTTAAGGCCCTGTGAGTGGACCCTGTGAGTGGACCCTGTGAGTGGACCCTGTGAGTGTGCATAGAGACAGTGCTAAAATAAAATAAAATATGAGGGTCAACTCAGATAGTCCGTGTAGCCATTTTGTAGAAGGTGAGTCAACACACCTTCTGAAATGGTCACATCAGCACTTTTCCACGGACTTCAAATGTTTCACCCTAAAGAAAAACCACTGTAAGTTATCCATGTTGATCCCATAGAAACTGCAATCACCAGCAATTCCCAACGTGTTTCCTGCTATCAGTGTATATATGGCCCTATTCTGATATTTTGAGTCGTGGTAAAGAGAGAGAGAAAACTCACAGACCTGTGTTTACACCTCAGAGGCAGAAACATCTCTCTCACAGAGAGAAGGTATGTAATACTTGCAGAGGCTGCTCAGAATCAGAGCTTTATTCATTGGTACTCATGAGAGGGGACATGATGCTGGTCTCTCTCCATAGTAAGCTGAGAGGGGACATGATGCTGGTCTCTCTCCATAGTAAGCTGAGAGGGGACATGATGCTGGTCTCTCTCTCTCCATAGTAAGCTGAGAGGGGACATGATGCTGGTCTCTCTCTCTCCATAGTAAGCTGAGAGGGGACATGATGCTGGTCTCTCTCCATAGTAAGCTGAGAGGGGACATGATGCTGGTCTCTCTCCATAGTAAGCTGAGAGGGGACATGATGCTGGTCTCTCTCTCTCCATAGTAAGCTGAGAGGGGGCATGATGCTGGTCTCTCTCTCCATAGTAAGCTGAGAGGGGACATGATGCTGGTCTCTCTCTCCATAGTAAGCTGAGAGGGGGCATGATGCTGGTCTCTCTCTCTCTCCATAGTAAGCTGAGAGGGGACATGATGCTGGTCTCTCTCTCTCTCCATAGTAAGCTGAGAGGGGACATGATGCTGGTCTCTCTCTCTCTCCATAGTAAGCTGAGAGGGGACATGATGCTGGTCTCTCTCTCTCTCCATTGTAAGCTGAGAGGGGACATGATGCTGGTCTCTCTCCATAGTAAGCTGAGAGGGGACATGATGCTGGTCTCTCTCCATAGTAAGCTGAGAGGGGACATGATGCTGGTCTCTCTCCATTGTAAGCTGAGAGGGGACATGATGCTGGTCTCTCTCCATAGTAAGCTGAGAGGGGACATGATGCTGGTCTCTCTCTCTCCATAGTAAGCTTCAACAAATTGAGCTGTACCGTATATTCTGCCATGGGAAACAGCAGACTGAGAATAACACGTCGCTAGCAAAAGGGGAGTAATTTATCAATTTATAGTTGGTTTTGTCAGTCATTACTTCAGTGTCCTCATCCATTCACGGCCCTTCCATAAAAACACTACTAAACACCATGTCTGGTTCTGAACACTCCCTCCCTAAATGAAGTGACCCAGTACAACTCTATGCCACCGCACTATATTATTGGCATCAGCCTTTTTGCCCCAGACAAGAATACAGTGGGGGAAAAAAGTATTTAGTCAGCCACCAATTGTGCAAGTTCTTCCACCTAAAAAGATGAGAGAGGCCTGTAATTTTCATCATAGGTACACGTCAACTATGACAGACAAAATGAGAAAAAAAAATCCAGAAAATCACATTGTAGGATTTTTTATGAATTTATTTGCAAATTATGGTGGAAAATAAGTATTTGGTCAATAACAAAAGTTTCTCAATACTTTGTTATATACCCTTTGTTGGCAATGACACAGGTCAAACGTTTTCTGTAAGTCTTCACAAGGTTTTCACACACTGTTGCTGGTATTTTGGCCCATTCCTCCATGCAGATCTCCTCTAGAGCAGTGATGTTTTGGGGCTGTCGCTGGGCAACACGGACTTTCAACTCCCTCCAAAGATTTTCTATGGGGTTGAGATCTGGTGACTGGCTAGGCCACTCCAGGACCTTGAAATGCTTCTTACGAAGCCACTCCTTCGTTGCCCGGGCGGTGTGTTTGGGATCATTGTCATACTGAAAGACCCAGCCACGTTTCATCTTCAATGCCCTTGCTGATGGAAGGAGGTTTTCACTCAAAATCTCACGATACATGGCCCCATTCATTATTTCCTTTACACGGATCAGTCGTCCTGGTCCCTTTGCAGAAAAAACAGCCCCAAAGCATGATGTTTCCACCCCCATGCTTCACAGTAGGTATGGTGTTCTTTGGATGCAACTCAGCATTCTTTGTCCTCCAAACACGACGAGTTGAGTTTTTACCAAAAAGTTATATTTTGGTTTCATCTGACCATATGACATTCTCCCAATCCTCTTCTGGATCATCCAAATGCACTCTAGCAAACTTCAGACGGGCCTGGACATGTACTGGTTTAAGCAGGTGGACACGTCTGGCACTGCAGGATTTGAGTCCCTGGCGGCGTAGTGTGTTACTGATGGTAGGCTTTGTTACTTTGGTCCCAGCTCTCTGCAGGTCATTCACTAGGTCCCCCCGTGTGGTTCTGGGATTTTTGCTCACCGTTCTTGTGATCATTTTGACCCCACGGGGTGAGATCTTGCGTGGAGCCCCAGATCGAGGGAGATTATCAGTGGTCTTGTATGTCTTCCATTTCCTAATAATTGCTCCCACAGTTGATTTCTTCAAACCAAGCTGCTTACCTATTGCAGATTCAGTCTTCCCAGCCTGGTGCAGGTCTACAATTTTGTTTCTGGTGTCCTTTGACGGCTCTTTGGTCTTGACCATAGTGGAGTTTGGAGTGTGACTGTTTGAGGTTGAGGACAGGTGTCTTTTATACTGATAACAAGTTCAAACAGGTGCCATTAATACAGGTAACGAGTGGAGGACAGAGGAGCCTCTTAAAGAAGAAGTTACAGGTCTGTGAGAGCCAGAAATCTTGCTTGTTTGTAGGTGACCAAATACTTATTTTCCACCATAATTTGCAAATAAATTCATTAAAAATCCTACAATGTGATTTTCTGGATTTTTTTTCTCTCAATTTGTCTGTCATAGTTGATGTGTACCTATGATGAAAATTACAGGCCTCTCTCATCTTTTTAAGTGGGAGAACTTGCACAATTGGTGGCTGACTAAATACTTTTTTCCCCCACTGTACTTCATTGTCCAGGGAGTGCGTGTTTCAGTTTTCTTACTCCATAAAACATAGTCACTCGTTAGGTCTGACATGATTGTGTGTGTAATAATATTAGCAGAGCTCAACATGTCAACGGTTGTCATGGTATTAATGATTATTAATGGAGAGAACAAAATGGAGGAGGGGGGAGGGGGGTGAAAATAAGGAGAAAATGAAAATTAGAACATTTTTCTTTGGTTAAGTTTTTATAGTATTTAAAAGGCTACTGTGCAGTACATCAGAGGTAAGAACACAATCAGTAGTGCCACCTCTGTACAAACCATACAGGCAGAGTAACGATTCGGGTTTGAATCCAACTAAGACACCTTTCCCTAATCTCTAACCAAAGTTAGATTTCCTTTTTTCTATTTTCCCAAACACGCCCTTTTACACACACACACACACACACACACACACACACACACACACACACACCTTTCCTCTATCCTATTCTTTAATTATTTTACTGGAAACATGGATTCAGTATGCCCAAAGTTGGGTATTTAATGAGTAATTCATTAAGCAATAAGGCCCGAGGAGGTGTGGTATATGGCCAATATACCACGGCTAAGGGCTGTTCTTACACACAACGCAGAGTGCCTGGACACAGCCCTTAGTCGTGGTATATTGGCAAAATACCACAAACCCCCGAGGTGCCTTATTGCTATTATAAACTGGTTACCAATGTAATTAGAGCAGTAAAAATAAATGTTTTGTCATACAGCCCTTCAGCCAATCAGCATTCAGAGCTCGAACTACCCAGTTAATCATTTAGAATAATATTGTGCCACATTATTTATCTTGTCCTATACGGTTAGAGTGTTTTCCACTGAGATGGGAAGGAGCCTGGGTTCTGTCTAACTGCAGATGGATTGGGAACTGTACTGTTTTGATATACCATAAACAAAAAGCAAACTGTAGCGTGACCTACATGACCCAGACACAAAAACAACTAGTTTCCTGTTCTTGACAATGAAGCACAGTTCAGTAAGTTGTCACTTTGCACATACTCAGCAGTCTGAACGCAGTGTGGGGACTGACGGCCATAACTCACTCACTTTAATACTGGAAAGAAACCAACCTACGTTGGCCTGTCAAATGGCTGAGGGCAAAAGGTGGAAAATTCCATCCTCCAATGGCAGTAGACCATGCTGATACAGAGATGACATCATCCAATGTTTGTTTAAAAAGGGCTGACCATCCATCCAGTGTTGGTTTGGAAAGGGATGACATCATCCAGTGTTTGTTTAGAAAGGGGTGACATCATCCAGTGTTGCTTTGGAAAGGGATGACATCATCCAGTGTTGCTTTGGAAAGGGATGACATCATCCAGTGTTTGTTTAGAAAGGGGTGACATCATCCAGTGTTGCTTTGGAAAGGGATGACATCATCCAGTGTTTGTTTAGAAAGGGGTGACATCATCCAGTGTTGCTTTGGAAAGGGATGACATCATCCAGTGTTTGTTTGGAAAGGGATGACATCAGTGTTGGTTTGGAAAGGGATGACATCATCCAGTGTTGGTTTGGAAAGGGATGACATCATCCAGTGTTGGTTTGGAAAGGGATGACATCATCCAGTGTTGGTTTGGAAAGGGATGACATCATCCAGTGTTGGTTTGGAAAGGGATGACATCATCCAGTGTTGGTTTGGAAAGGGATGACATCATCCAGTGTTGGTTTGGAAAGGGGTGACATCATCCAGTGTTGCTTTGGAAAGGGATGACATCATCCAGTGTTTGTTTAGAAAGGGATGACATCATCCAGTGTTTGTTTGGAAAGGGATGACATCATCCAAAACCTGTTGGTTTTTGTATTTACTATATCAGCTTGTTTTCAGTGGCTTTGTATGATCAAATCAAATCAAATGTTATTCTTCACCTGCTTCGTAAACAACAGGTGCAGACTAACAGTGAAATGCTTACTTACGGGCCCTTCCCAACAATGCAGAGAGAAAGAAAATAGAGAAATAATAAAAGTAATAATAAATACACAATGAGTAGTGTATGAGTAGATGGGATCTCTACAATGTGTACTCCTCCTTGACTCTTCTATTTTCTCTCACAGTGAGTAATCAATCTGTCTTACAGTATATACACATATACATATATATATACACATACATATATATATATACATACATATATACATATATATACATATACATTACATTCACAGTACCATAAGTACCAAACACTTTTTTGCAGTTCAATAAAGCAATGATATAGCCTACTGTAGCTGACTATTGGATGAGTGCTGGATGCCATGGCCCCATTCAACATGTAAGGCATATTTCTGTTAATAGGACAGAGGAAAGGTGAATGTGTGTGTGTGTGTCTGTGTGTGTGCGTGCGTGTTTCAGAACGAGTAGACAGTGTTGAGAAGACGTCTCACCCGCACCCCAAACACATCTAATATGTTGCGTCAAAACAAGCTGATGTACAGTACCATGCCGTACAAACAGTCAGCTCCTATTATGCAATATCTACTTATCGGTCCGTTCAGTCCCCTTTGACTTTCCTCACATATAGTCAAGTCCACAAACCTGAATATGAATGTTCACACTCTCCAAAGGGATACACTCTTATTGTAGAGGTAACTGGAAATGTGTCCCAAGTGTACTGGTATTGTATTAGTATATAATAATTTCGTATTATTGTAATGTTATAAAAAGCACAGCTCAACACACCAAGACAATACATCAATGTTCATTCTGAGCCCCTCTCTCTCTCTCTCTTCTCTCTCTCTCTCTCTCTCTCTCTCTCTCTCTCCTCGCTCTCCTCTCTCTCTCTCTCTCTCCTCTCTCTCTCTCTCTCTCTCTCTCTCTCTCTCTCTCTCTCTCTCTCTCTCTCTCTCTCTCTCTCTCTCTCTCTCTCTCTCTCTCTCTCTCTCTCTCTCTGCTACTCTGTTTGAATAAAGCTTCTTTCTACTGCCAACACATCTGGGAGCAGCACAGAGACGGAACACATAAGGATTTGGCTGACAGGTTGGAGTCACGACGGTGCGTTACTACTTACTACAGGAGTGAATATACAGTATCAATCCAACAAGGGACAAGAATACTACTACAATTTGGTTCCTTGATAACTTGAAGTTTATCCTTGGCTTGGAGGAGAGTGGCAAGGTAAAGTCTAGTTTTCAGTAGCATCGGTACTGGGCAGCTTCCTAAGTACAGTACTGCTCTAAGTACTGCTCTAAATACTGCTCTAAGTACTGCTCTAAATACTGCTCTAAGTACTGCTCTAAGTACTGCTCTAAGTACTGCTCTAAGCACAGCTCTAAGTACTGCTCTAAGTACTGCTCTAAGTACAGCTCTAAGTACTGCTCTAAGTACAGCTCTAAGTACTGCTCTAAGCACAGCTCTAAATACTGCTCTAAGTACTGCTCTAAGTACAGCTCTAAGTACTGCTCTAAGCACAGCTCTAAGTACTGCTCTAAGTACTGCTCTAAGTACAGCTCTAAGTACTGCTCTAAATACAGCTCTAAGTACTGCTCTAAGTACTGCTCTAAATACTGCTCTAAGTACTGCTCTAAGTACTGCTCTAAGTACTGCTCTAAGTACTGCTCTAAGTACTGCTCTAAATACTGCTCTAAGTACAGCTCTAAATACTGCTCTAAGTACTGCTCTAAGCACAGTTCTAAGTACTACTCTAAGTACTGCTCCAAGTACTGCTCTGAGTACTGCTCTAAGTACTGCTCTAAGTACTGCTCTAAGTACTGCTCTAAGTACTGCTCTAACTCTAAGTAAAATAAATATAATAAATAATATTATAAATATTAATTATAATTAACAAAATAATAAAATAAGAACATAGAGAGGAATGAGACAGAACTGGTCCTCAGTAACACCTATAAAATAAGAACATACAGGCATTTTGAAAGGTTTATCCTGAGCACTTTGGAAAACATTTGTATTCCTATTGTTACTATTTTCTTAAAATCTTTAAAATCTTTTAGACAGTAAAAAAATGCAAATAGTTGTTTTTAACTAATGTTAAAAAATAATGTGTACATAGCTTTTCAGAATCCAAAGGTTCAAACTATTTTCTGGATGATACGGCACATGGCGAGGTTTTACACCTGACTTGATTGACCCTGCTGTCACTCACATAGTCAGTGTCAGAGCCACTGGCGAAATACAATATCTTCTGTATTTTCAGTGTGTAAATGGATAAAACTGAGGGGGCACATGTCATGTGGACACGTGCATGACTATGGGCATAATGCCACTGGTTAGTGTGTTCTCTGGTCAGCATATCAGCTGGAGTTAGATGACATGGTACTGTATGGATAACTGTTCTCTGGTCAGTTAATCAGCTGCAGTTAGAGGACATGGTACTGTATGGATAACTGTTCTCTGGTCAGTATATCAGCTGCAGTTAGATGACATGGTACTGTATGGATAACTGTTCTCTGGTCAGTATATCAGCTGCAGTTAGATGACATGGTACTGTATGGATAACTGTTCTCTGGTCAGTATATCAGCTGCAGTTAGATGACATGGTACTGTATGGATAACTGTTCTCTGGTCAGTATATCAGCTGCAGTTAGATGACATGGTACTGTATGGATAACTGTTCTCTGGTCAGTATATCAGCTGCAGTTAGATGACATGGTACTGTATGGATAACTGTTCTCTGGTCAGTTAATCAGCTGCAGTTAGAGGACATGGTACTGTATGGATAACTGTTCTCTGGTCAGTATATCAGCTGCAGTTAGATGACATGGTACTGTATGGATAACTGTTCTCTGGTCAGTATATCAGCTGGAGTTAGATGACATGGTACTGTATGGATAACTGTTCTCTGGTCAGTTAATCAGCTGCAGTTAGATGACATGGTACTGTATGGATAACTGTTCTCTGGTCAGTATGTCAGCTGCAGTTAGATGACATGGTACTGTACACTTGTAGTCCCTTTGCTATCCAACACAGTCCTATGTCATTTCTGACTGAGAGGCAGAAGGCAGCCAAATTGAAATTAGACAGAGTAATACGATAAATACAATGAAGGATTTGGATCTTACTTTGAGAGGATGTGTCACAAAGTTTTCTGTCTGATTGAATATTTTCTGCTTTGATTGAACATTGATTGGTTGAATAGAATTGTTAGCTGCAGTTTTCAGCATGTATCTGCTGTGGCCTTTGAACAGTTCTAGAATGCACGGTGTCATAGTTTGAACAGTTTTAGAATGCACTGTGTCATAGTTTGAACAGTTTTAGAATGCACTGTGTCATAGTTTGAACAGTTTTAGAATGCACTGTGTCATAGTTTGAACAGTTCTAGAATGCACGGTGTCATAGTTTGAACAGTTTTAGAATGCACTGTGTCATAGTTTGAACAGTTTTAGAATGCACTGTGTCATAGTTTGAACAGTTTTAGAATGCACTGTGTCATAGTTTGAACAGTTTTAGAATGCACTGTGTCATAGTTTGAACAGTTCTAGAATGCACTGTGCCATAGTTTGAACAGTTCTAGAATGCACGGTGGTCAGGACTATGGACAGCGTCTTCATCCCTACCATAAGAACAGAGACACATTCCTGAAAGTGATGCTTTGTTAAGACACAGCGTGAATGATCTATTGTTCCTCACCATGAAGTCAGAAAATGTAGATGCTACGGTATACTGTAAACTGAACGTGTGTGTGTGTGCCTCCCGTGTACGTGTGTGTGTGCCATGCATGTATACATCTATGTACAAGTGTCCATCTGTGTGTACGTACACACCCACATACTGTGCACATCCACTTACATACCTGAATTGGGTGTGTGTTCACCCCGGCATGTGTGATTGGGCAGTGGGCATGTGCTGGCTCCCATGTTCCCCAGCCCCGTGCTTGCTTACCCCTCTGAGGAGGCTCTCTTGTCAATGTCCACTCTGTTCTGAAGCCTGGGGTCTTTTGAGACCCAGGCGGGTGTAGGGGCCTCCTCAGGAATACAGCCCCCACGGCCCAGTGTTTACCTTGGCTTCCAGCACACTCCCAGGGCCCTGCATTCATCCAGACTCCCAGGACCCTGCATTCATCCAGACTCCCAGGGCCCTGCATTCATCCAGACTCCCAGGGCCCTGCATTCATCCAGACTCCCAGGGCCCTGCATTCATCCAGACTCCCAGGACCCTGCATTCATCCAGACTCCCAGGGCCCTGCATTCATCCAGACTCCCAGGACCCTGCATTCATCCAGACTCCCAGGGCCCTGCATTCATCCAGACTCCCAGGGCCCTGCATTCATCCAGACTCCCAGGACCCTGCATTCATCCAGACTCCCAGGGCCCTGCATTCATCCAGACTCCCAGGACCCTGCATTCATCCACACCCCCAGGGCCCTGCATTCATTCACACTCACAGCACAGCAGGAACAGACTAGGGCCCGGTTTCCCAAAAGCATCTTAAAGGCTAAGTTCATCTTAGAACCATAGGATCCTCCATCTCAACAGGGAACTCACAGGGCTCCACCACAGCAGGAACAGTCCTGGACCTTATTGGCCTCCACTTCAATGGGGAACGGAACATACCACACTAGCTGAATGGCGATACTGTAGAAGGTTTAGAATGCCTATACGGCCACCACTCCAGGCCCTCACAATAGGAGCTTAGATCAGGAAGGTTGGAGGATGGCCTTAAAGGCATATGGATTCATTGGTAGGCTACTCTGTAGAGAGATATAGTAGAGTTAAGTAAATCCAGGGATACGGTTTTGGTTGGCCATTCTGAGTGGTGAGGTTTTGGCTTGAAACAGCATGTGGATTAATTGGTGCACTGTAGAGAGATATAGTAGTTGGCTACAGTGAACCCAGGGATAAGGTTTTGGTTGGCGAAGGTTGAGTGTCTGTGTAAGGCAACTGTGTTAGGGAGCAGCTAGTTCTCTTCAGGGAGGGATTTTCATCACATTCTGGAAAGGCCTCCCTTTTGTGAATTTAGCATTAGGCAGTGGTAGAAAACGTACTCAATTTTCATACTTGAGTAAAAGTAAAGACACCTTAGTAGAAAATGACTCAAGTAAAAGTGAAAGTCACCCAGTAAAATACTACTTGAGTAAAAGTCTAAAAGTATTTAGTTTTAAATATACTTAAGTATCAAAAGTAAATGTAATAGCAAAAATATACTTAAGTATAAATCATTTAAAATTCCTTATATTAAGCAAACCAGACAGCACCATTTTCATGTTTATTTATTTATAGAAAGCCAGGGGCACGCTCCAACACTCAGACATAATTTACAAACTAATCGTGTGTGTTTCGTGAGTCCGCCAGATCAGAGGCAGTAGGGATGACCAGGGATGTTCTCTTGATAAGTGTGTGAATTGGACCATCTTCCTGTCCTGCTAAGCATTCAAAATATAACGAGTACTTTTGGGTGTCAGGGCAAATGTATGGAGTAAAAAGTACATAATTTTCTTTAGGAATGTAGTGAAGAAAAAGTAAAAGTTGTCAAAAATATAAATAGTAAAGTAAAGTACAGATACCCAAGAAAAACTACTTAAGCAGTACTTTAAAGTATTTTTACTTAAGTACTTTACACCACTGGCGTTAGGGTTTAAGTTTCCTTGGCTTGTAGTTGTGCGGTACTTGCATTCAAATCAACAACAAAAAAATCTACTCAGACGTTCAGAACTACATCTAGATCAGTTGGAATGCTGGGATCAAATCATTGGAGGGTTGGATCCACCAATCATCATTTCAGACATCAAAACACAATAGGGCTATTATGACCTAAGCATACACTTGTGGATGTTGAATCTAAATGTGTTCCTCTATATCAGGCAAACAAAGCCCCTCTCCTTCTAGGTTCTAGAGAGATAGATTTTCTCTTAGTTCCTGAGAAAGTAGCTGTCCTAAAAAAAAGTACAGTTATGAAGAATATAGCTCATTTTAGGATTCAGCTGGAGGTTTATCTCTGACCTGCGGTTCTGGTGATATGCCATGTCATGTGCCATTTAGTGTTTCCTCTCTAATAAAACCCAGTCAGATCACGAGTAAAACTTTGCGTGAGTGTGTGTGCGAGCTTGTCTAGGAGTGCGACTCAGTGTGGATTTATATTTGTGTGTGTGTTAACATTGTTTGCTGTTATGTCTACAGAGTCACTCCTATGTGTCATACATTTGGGTGGAATGACCTTTGAACTTGGGAGACTAACTTTACTGGGCTCTGAATTTCTCTGAACTCCCTGTAGACTTTAATTTACGTCAGGGTGGTGGTCATTACTTATATTAGTATTTATTGTGGATCTGCCAAGGCAGCAGCTACTCTTCCTGGGGTCCAGCAAAATTAAGGCAGTTATACATTTAAAAAAAACATTACAATACATTCACAACAGATTTCACAACATATTAAGTGTGTGCCCTCAGGCCCCGTATCTATAACACAAAATCCATGTGTACATGTGTGTATAGTGCGTATGTTATCGTGTGTTTGTATGCATGTGTCTATGTTTGTGTTGCTTCACAGTCCCCGCTGTTCCATAAGGTGTATTTTTATATCAGGGTCGTGGTCATTATCCCCAGGGTCGTGAGCATTATCCTCAGGGTCGTGATCATTAGAGCAGTAACGGAAAATAATAAAAAATGAGTGTTTCTTTAAACATTTAAATGAGTGTTTATTGTTGGACAGGTCCCTGTAGTCCCTCCATATGTCAGTCTATTTCATTTGGTACTTAACGAAGGACTGAGATGAAGGAGGACGTCATGGCAGTAAGGATACTGGAGGTAACAGCAGTAAGGATACTGGACGTCACGGTAGTGGGAACCAGAGAGGAAATCAACCTGGGTTACAGTGGCTCACTCTCTCAAAGAGTTACGCAAGAGATGTATGGTGTCCAATGGTAGCACTTTAGACTTGCAACCATACTGTAATGTCGATATGGATCTGAGAGTTTGGCTGTTGATCTCTGCCTACTGTAGGTTATAACACAATGACATTCCATAACCCCTAATATCTACAACCTTTGATTAGACATTTCTGTCTCACCGATGAATCTAGTGCTGAATAATGTGTTGGTGATGAGGAAAAGTATGGGTACAATTAAATGGCAGAAAAGATTCATCCCAGCCCATGTGGAATACCCATGTAACCACAGCGCTTTTATCCACTATCAAAGCAGTCAGTCAGTCAGTCAGTCTCTCTCTCTCAGAGACTACTGTACCCAGTATCTGAGAACCGCTGGAAAACTGCCCTGACTAATTATTTAAATTTTTGCTGTTAAAAAACACAAATGGGATGCATTGGGTTGACTGGATCAAGCTTTTCCCTCTTCTTCTATCAAGAATTCCTATGACGTATAAATTCAGCAAAAATATATAATTTTTGCACTGAGAACATTTCCTATGCCAGGAACAGAGGGGTTTTATTCATTGATGAACATGTGTGTGGTATTTGAGAATGGCAGAGTGACTTATGGCAGAGTGACTTATGGCAGAGTGACTTTTGACATCATGTTTCCACTTTGCCCAAGGGGCTGGCGTAGCACAGTACAACCAGCCTATACTGGTATACAGTAGACGTTTGCCTGAATAGGATGGGTTTAAAGGAGCTGTGGGAGAATTAAAACCTTTCCCACCAGACCAGTTGGAATCATTCAAACACAGAACAGCAAGCGTTTGTTGTCTATAGTCGGATGAACACTCCAAAAACAGCCTACCCGACTGCTCAGAGGCTTCCGCATGGTCCTAAAGCACACCGTTGCCGTTTTTGTATCACATTCCATTGATAAAACTGGGGGGGAGGGGGTGACAAATATGTAATTTCAGAATGGGGGGGGGGGGGGGGGGGGGGGAACATGTCCCCCTCGTCCCCAGTGAAAGTTGCGCCCCTGACTTCACTGACAGTTCTTTCTTCCACAACAGGTCAACCATGATCTCCTTGCTCCTCCTGTGTGTGTCTCTTCCCTTCACCACCTCAACTATATCCTTTGAAGACTCCGGCGGTATGTCTTACATTGCTATTGTTCACTGGCCCTATTTAAATACGATTGAAAATTAGTCATTCCTTCCGCCTTTCCTTGAAATAATCACTGACATAACACAGATAGATAGGTGTAAGAAAAACGTTCCACTCCGCTGCTTTCATCCAATCAGATCCAATCAACATCGAGGAAGGACCAAGGGAAGGATGCTTTGCATTCAAATAGGGAAGGTTACAGTTCTAGCTATTCAGACAGAGCTCCTGTTATATACTGTACTGTTATATAGTGTACTGTTATATACTGTACTGTTATATACTGTACTGTTATATAGTGTACGTGTAGCCCACGGGCTACCGCTGACAGCAAATGTAAAAGTAGAAAGGTTTCTAGTCTCTCCGGGTAGGGTTTGGAATTATGCAGGCAGATGACATGAGTTTACTCCACTTTACTGAAAAGAAGCAGGCAGTACGTCCATCATGTTACTTCACTTAGGCAACATCTTCCTGCGTGTGCTACTCATGAGCAGTATAACAGTATAAAGTATCTTCCATCCAAATAGATGCAAACATATTGTAAAAAAACTGAATCTCATACTATCCTCCCCAGATCTCGACAGTACACTGAGTGTCAGTATTCCCGTGGAGGTGCCGCTGCGCCCTCTGATGGGCGCCAAGGTGGTGGTGCCCTGCTACTTCCAGGACAACACGGTCAACGACCCCGGTGCGCCCACTGTCACCCCCCTGTCCCACTGCATCAAGTGGACCTACGTGACCAAGGGCAAGGCCACCCAAATACTGCTGGCGTCAGAGGGCAAAGTTCACGTGGAGACGGAATACCTAGACCGGGTCACCATGGTCAACTACCCGCTGGTGCCCACCGACATCACCATGGAGATCACAGAACTGCGCACCAAGGACTCTGGCACCTATCGCTGTGAGGTCATGCATGGCATCGGGGATAACTACGACTCGGTGGACATCCAGGTTCAAGGTATGCACCTAAACCAAATATCAGGGTTATTGGTGTCAATTCTTTTTCGATTCAGTCAATTCTGGAAGTAAACTGAAATTCAAAATCCAATATTTGTCAATGCTTTGCTTAATTATTATTATTTTTTGTATTATATTATATGGGGAAGAGTTGTATAATTAAGCAATAATGCATGAGGAGGTGTGGTATATGGCCAATATACCACGGCTAAGGGCTGTTCCACGGCTGTCAGTCAATCAGCATTCAGGGCTCGAACCACCCAGTTTATAATGTGCTATAAAGGTGTGTGAAACTCCTACACAGTAAGAACATATCTTATGTAAATCAGTAGAAAAGGATGAGGTTTGACACGGTTGGGGTCAATTCCATTTTGATTCAATCAATTCAGCAAGTAACTGATTCCAATTCCAATTGCAAAGCATTGAGAAAAATGTGAATTTGAATTTCAGTTTACTTCCAGAATTGATTGAATCAAAATGGAATTGACCCCAACCGTGTCAAGAATCCTCATACTCATTCTATTATGCACAAGCCAACCCTCTGAAATGGAATAATACTCAATATAATATGACGGTGAGGGTGATGTGTTCTCTCCTCTCCAGGTATTGTGTTCCACTACCGAGCCATCTCGACTCGCTACACTCTGAACTTTGAAAGGGCCAAGGCTGCCTGTATCCAGAACAGCGCCACCATCGCCACCCCAGCCCAGCTACAGGCTGCCTTTGACGATGGCTTCCACCAATGTGACGCCGGGTGGCTCTCTGACCAAACAGTCAGGTAATTGTGGTATACTAAACCGTGCACCGTCATCGCTCGTGACTGTTTTAGGGAAACGATGTTTGATGTGTTGGCACCCAGTGTGGATATACAGTACAGTAAAAAGTATGACATTAGTACAGCCCTGAAGGATTTTGTAGGGATGTGAAATGTTGTTCTAGAGCATGGGTTGGCATTATGCAAAGACATGTTATAACCATTTGAGATTTTTTTTAAAAATACTAATGGACGGCATCTTTTTTTCTTTGCCATCTGACGTGATCTACTCAAGGTACCCCATCCATGAGCCTCGTGAGGGTTGCTTTGGAGACAAGGACGAGTTCCCGGGAGTGCGAACCTACGGCGTGAGAGAGGTCAACGAGACCTATGACGTGTACTGCTTTGCACAGAAGATGTCAGGTATGCCACACTGCAGCTGGTCATTATACAAGCTGTTTTGTGGTTCACATAGATAAGCATCACCGTTAAAGTGGAACTGACAGCATTTCAGCAACATTACATCTTATTAAAATCTGTTCATATACACTCCCCAGGAAGAATATGACACATAAAAAAAAAAATAACATTTTCTAACAAGCAAGCACTTAGATAGTCATTTTCATGTTTTCATACTTTCATAGAATGTTTGGCAATGACATAGAGTAAGGCATTTGTGAAAATTCTATAGCAATATAGAGTGTGAAAGCGGCCGTGCATTTGGACAATTAATAGAGACTGCAGGAAATAAAACCTAATAAAAACATCTGTCTACGCAGACTGGTGTGCCATAGCCAATCAGAGATAGTAGGCCTATATGCAAATTATTGATTTATTTAACCGTTATTTAACCAGGAAAAGCCCATTGAGACCAAGAGTTTCTTTTTCAAGGGAGACCTGGCCAAGAAGGCATCAACAATCAATACATTACAGAATTAAAACATACAACAATACAATTTAACAACATGATCCAGCTTAAAAAATGAATTTACACTCCTCTGTAACAGAGTCTCCCATCAACATTTTAAATTCATTCAGTGGCACTAACATATCTAACATACCATTATTAAAGGCCTACTACTAGATGTTTCTCTGTTGCAGTTATTTTATTTATTTATTAATTAATTGTCAAGCTGTAAAAACCGAAGTGAGACTGCAACACGTTAGTAGCCTAGCTAGGACTGTGGCATGTCTGTACACTTTCCTTCCGCTGCGTAAACGGGACACACGAAAGCAACGCAATTGAAGTTGAATTCACAGATGCAAGCGTGTCAGGCTGCAATTTCAAAAAGTGGATGACTCAACTGTTGACTCATTTATACTCCCTTGAGTGTCCTTGTTTGACACGCTAGCCTATTAGCCACATTATGACTGACTAGTGATCATTGCTATTTCGATTGTATTGACATTCCCAGCCTTAGTTAAACAGTTTTCCGTTTTATTTTTTCTCCAAAAAATTGAGTCGTTGAAACTGAAACGGTGCATCCCGAATGGGTTGTGGCAGCAAACAATGTACTAGGCCAGCTGTGATTTACAACCTGATCGCAATATTTTTTGGACTACGAAGAAATGTATTGGTGAATTACAGTTGAAGTCAGAAGTTTACATACACTTAGGTTGGAGTCATTAAAACTCATTTTTCAACCACTCCACACATTTCTTGATAACAAACTATAGTTTTGGCAAGTCGGTTAGGACATCTACTTTGTGCATGACACAAGTAATTTTTCCAACAATTGTTTAACAGACAGATTATTTCACTTATAATTCACTGTATCACAATTCCAGTGGGTCAGAAGTTTACGTACACTAAATTGACTGTGCCTTTAAACAGCTTGGAAAATTCCAGAAAATGATGTCATGGCTTTAGAAGCTTCTGATAGGCTAATTGACATCATTTGAGTCAATTGGAGGTGTACCTGTGGATGTATTTCAAGGCCTACCTTCAAACTCAGTGCCTCTTTGCTTGACATCATGGGAAAATCAAAAGAAAATCAGCCAAGACCTCAGAAAATAATTTGTAGACCTCAACAAGTCTGGTTCATCCTTGGGAGCAATCTCCAAACACCTGAAGGTACCACGTTCATCTGTACAAACAATAGTACGCAAGTATAAACACCATGGGACCACGCAGCCGTCATACCGCTCAGGAAGGTGATGCGTTCTGTCCCCTAGAGATACTTTGGTGCGAAAAGTGCAAATCAATCCCAGAACAACAGCAAAGGACCTTGTGAAGATGCTGGAGGAAACATGTACAAAAATATCTATATCCACAGTAAAATGAGTCCTATATCGACATAACCTGAAAGGCCGCTCAGCAAGGAAGAAGCCACTGCTCCAAAACCGCCATAAAAAAGTCAGACTACGGTTTGCAACTGCACATGGGGACAAAGATCGTACGTTTGGCCATAATGACCATCGTTATGTTTGGAGGAAAAAGGGGGTCGCTTGCAAGCCGAGGAACACCATCCCAACCGTGAAGCACAGGGGTGGCAGCATCATGCTATGGGGGTGCTTTGCTGCAGGAGGGTCTGGTGCACTTCACAAAATAGATGGCATCATGAGGAAGGAAAATTATGTGGATATATTGAAGCAACATCTCAAGACATCAGTCAGGAAGTAAAAGCTTGGTCGCAAATAGGCCTTCCAAATGGACAATGACCCCAAGCATACTTCCAAAGTTGTGGCAAAATGGCTTAAGGACAACAAAGTCAAGCTATTGGAGTGGCCATCACAAAGCCTATAGAACATTTGTGTGCAGAACTGAAATAGCGTGTGCGATTAAGGAGGCCTGCAAACCTGACTCAGTTACACCAGCTCCGTCAGGAGGAATGGGCCAACATTCACCCAACTTATTGTGGGAAGCTTGTGGAAGGCTACCCGAAACGTTTGACCCAAGTTAAACATTTTAAAAGCAATGCTACCAAATACTAATTGAGTGTATGTAAACTTCTGACCCACTGGGAATGTGATGAAAGAAATAAAAGCTGAAATAAATAATTCTCTCTACTATTATTCTGACATTTCACATTCTTAAAATAAAGTGGTGATCCTAACTGACCTAAGACAGGGAATTTTTACTAGGATTAAATGTCAGGAATTGTTTAAAACTGAGTTTAAATGTATTTGGCTAAGGTGTATGTAAACTTCCGACTTCAACTGTATATTAACCATGCATTGAACTGCCTCAATCGATTCTACCAACAATGCCTTACTGTATGTCATGGAATTTTGAGTCAAATATAACCTATTTTTAAAACCTCTTAAAAGTTGGTTTTGAAGCATAAAATGGGAATTTGATATTTTTGACTGATATTATGATTGTCTGATTGTTTCATATGTGCAAAGTAGTTAAAACTCTAGTTCAACCTCTTTAAGTGATTTACAGCAACCACATTCAATAGGTGGACCGAAGTCCAGCTCCATACCCACAACGGGGTCAATACGAGAACAAAAAAACCCCAAAAAAACAATAGGACTGTTTCTATACTGAACAACAATATAAACACAACATGTAAAGTGTTGGTCCCATGTTTCATGAGCTGAAATAAAAGATCCCAGACATTTTCCATACGCACAAAAAGCGTATTTCTCACAAATTTGTTTACATCCCTGTTAGTGAGCATTTCTCCTTTGCCAAGATAATCCATCCACCTGACAGGTGTGGCACAGATGTCTCAAGTTTGGAGGGAGCGTGCAATTCGCATGCGGACTGCAGGAATGTCCACCAGAGGTCTTGCCAGATAATGTAATGTTAATTTCTCTACCATAAGCCGCATCCAAAGTTATTTTTTGAGAATTTGACAGTACGTCCAACCGGCCTCACAACCATGCCAGCCCAGGACCTCCATATCCGGCTCCTTCACCTGTGGGATCGTCTGAGACCAGCCACCCAGACAGCTGATGAAACTGAGGAGTATTTCTATCTGTAATAAAGCCCTTTTGTGGGGAAAAACTCATTCTACACCCTCCCATGGCTGCGCCCCTGCCCAGTCATGTGAAATCCATAGAGTATGGCCTAATTTATTTATTTCAATTGACTGAATTCCTTATATGAACAACTCAGTAAAATCGTTGAAATGTTGCGTTTATATTTTTGTTCAGTATAGTTGCTGTGTGTGCTGTGGATTACTCAAATCAAATCAAATCAAATGTTATTGGTCACATGCGCCGAATACAACAGGTGCAGACATTACAGTGAAATGCTTACTTACAGCCCTTAACCAACAGTGCATTTATTTTAAACAAAAAAAGTAAGAATAAAACAACAACAAAAAAGTGTTGAGAAAAAAAGAGCAGAAGTAAAATAAAGTGACAGTAGGGAGGCTATATATACAGTAAAATAAAGTGACAGTAGGGAGGCTATATATACAGGGGGGTACCGTTGCATAGTCAATGTGCGGGGGCACCGGCTAGTTGAGGTAGTTGAGGTAATATGTACATGTGGGTAGAGTTAAAGTGACTATGCATAAATACTTAACAGAGTAGCAGCAGCGTAAAAAGGATGGGGTGGGGGGGCAGTGCAAATATTCCGGGTAGCCATGATTAGCTGTTCAGGAGTCTTATGGCTTGGGGGTAGAAGCTGTTGAGAAGTCTTTTGGACCTAGACTTGGCACTCCGGTACCGCTTGCCGTGCGGTAGCAGAGAGAACAGTCTATGACTAGGGTGGCTGGAGTCTTTGACAATTTTGAGGGCCTTCCTCTGACACCGCCTGGTATAGAGGTCCTGGATGGCAGGGAGCTTTGCCCCAGTGATGTACTGGGCCGTACGCACTACCCTCTGTAGTGCCTTGCGGTCAGAGGCCAAGCAGTTGCCATACCAGGCGGTGATGCAACCAGTCAGGATGCTCTCGATGGTGCAGCTGTAGAATTTTGAGGATCTGAGGACCCATGCCAAATCTTTTTAGTCTCCTGAGGGGGAATAGGCTTTGTCATGCCCTCTTCACGACTGTCTTGGTGTGTTTGGACCATGATAGTTCGTTGGTGATGTGGACACCAAGGAACTTGAAGCTCTCAACCTGTTCCACTACAGCCCCGTCGATGAGAATGGGGGCGTGCTCAGTCCTCTTTTTTTTCCTGTAGTCCACAATCATCTCCTTTGTCTTGGTCACGTTGAGGGAGAGGTTGTTGTCCTGGCACCACACAGCCAGATCTCTGACCTCCTCCCTATAGGCTGTCTCATCGTTGTCGGTGATCAGGCCTACCACTGTTGTGTCGTCGGCAAACTTAATGATGGTGTTGGAGTCGTGCCTGGCCATGCAGTCATGGGTGAACAGAGAGTACAGGAGGGGACTGAGCACGCACCCCTGAGGGGCCCCCGTGTTGAGGATCAGTGTGGCAGATGTGTTGTTACCTACCCTTACCACCTGGGGGCGGCCCGTCAGGAAGTCCAGGATCCAGTTGCAGAGGGAGGTGTTTAGTCCCAGGATCCTTAGCTTAGTGATGAGCTTAGAGGGCACTATGGTGTTGAATGCTGAGCTGTAGTCAATGAATAGCATTCTCACGTAGGTGTTCCTCTTGTCCAGGTGGGAAAGGGCAGTGTGGAGTGCGATAGAGATTGCATCATCTGTGGATCTGTTGGGGCGGTATGCAAATTGGAGTGGGTCTAGGGTTTCTGGGATTATGCTGTTGATGTGAGCCATGACCAGTCTTTCAAAGCACTTCATGGCTACAGACGTCAGTGCTACGGGTCGGTAGTCATTTAGGCAGGTTATCTTAGAGTTCTTGGGCACGGGGACTATGGTGGTCTGCTTGAAACATGTTGGTATTACAGACTCAGTCAGGGACATGTTGAAAATGTCAGTGAAGACACTTGCCAGTTGGTCAGCACATGCTCGGAGTACACGTCCTGGTAATCCGTCTGGCCCTGCGGCCTTGTGAATGTTGACCTGCTTAAAAGTCTTACTCACATCGGCTACGGAGAGCGTGATCACATAGTCGTCCGGAGCAGCTGGTGCTCTCATGCATGCTTCAGTGTTGCTTGCCTCGAAGCGAGCATAGAAGTGGTTTAGCTCATCTGGTAGGCTTGTGTCACTGGGCAGCTCGCGGCTGTGCTTCCCTTTGTAGTCTGTAATAGTTTTCAAGCCCTGCCACATCCGACGAGCGTCAGAGCCAGTGTAGTATGATTCAATCTTAGACCTGTATTGACTCTTTGCCTGTTTGATGGTTCGTCGGAGGTCATAGCGGGATTTCTTATAAGCGTCCGGGTTAGAGTCCCGTTCCTTGAAAGCGGCAGCTCTACCCTTTAGCTCAGTGCGGATGTTTCCTGTAATCCATGGCTTCTGGTTGGGGTATGTACGTACGGTCACTGTGGGGACGACATCATCGATGCACTTATTGATGAAGCCAGTGACTGATGTGGTGTACTCCTCAATGCTGTCTGAAGAATCCCGGAACATGTTCCAGTCTGTGCTAGCAAAACAGTCCTGTAGCTTAGCATCTGCGTCATCTGACCACTTTTTTATTAACCGAATCACTGGTGCTTCCTGCTTCAGTTTTTGCTTATAAGCAGGAATCAGGAGGATAGAGTTATGGTCAGATTTGCCAAATGGAGGGCGAGGGAGAGCTTTGTATGCGTCTCTGTGTGTGGAGTAAAGGTGGTCTAGAGTTTTTTCCCCTCTGGTTGCACATTTAACATGCTGGTAGAAATTAGGTAGAACGGATTTAAGTTTCCCTGCATTAAAGTCCCCGGCTACTAGGAGCGCTGCATCTGGATGAGCGTTTTCCTGTTGATTAATGGCCTTGTACAACTCATTCAGTGCAATCTTAATGCCAGCATTGGTTTGTGGTGGTAAATAGACAGCTATGAAAAATATAGATGAAAACTCTCTTGGTAAATAGTGTGGTCTACAGCTTATCATAAGATACTCTACCTCAGGCGAGCAAAACCTCGAGACTTCCTTAGTATTTGATTTTGTGCACCAGCTGTTGTTTACAAATATACACAGACCGCCGCCCCTTGTCTTACCAGAGTCAGACGTTCTGTCCTGCCGATGTAGCGTATAGCCTGCTAGCTGAATGTTGTCATTGTTGTCGTTCAGCCACGACTCCGTGAAACATAAGATATTACAGTTTTTAATGTCCCGTTGGTAGGATAACCGTAATCTTAAATCGTCAATTTTATTCTCAAAAGATTGAACGTTGGCTAATAGGATTGATGGGAGAGGCAGTTTACTCGCACGCCGTCGGATCCTTACAAGGCACCCGGATCTGCGTCCACGATATCTCCGTCTCTTCCTCACGCGAATGACGGGGATCTGGGCCTTGTTGGGTGTCTGTAGAATATCCTTCGCGAACGCCTCGTTGAAGAAAAAGTCTTCGTCCAATGCGAGGTGAGTAATCGCTGTCCTGATATCCAGAAGCTCTCTTTGGTTATAAGAGACGATGGCAGAAACATTATGTACAAAATAAATTACAAATAACGCGGAAAAACACACATAATAGTACAATTGGTTAGAGGGCTGTAAAACGGCAGCCATCTTCTTCCGGCGCTGTTGTTGAATAGTGCTGACCATGGCGTATCTATCTGTTCGTCTGTCCATCTGTCTGTCTGTTTGTGGTTGTGTATTTGTGTCTGCTCAGTGTCAAGACAGCTCCCTCAGCTCTGAAGAACAGAGTACATAGTCTACACTCCTCAATTAGTTGTCTGTTTCTGAAATGATCTTACATTTACATTTGATTCATGTAGCAGATGCTCTCATCCAGAGCGACTTACAGGAGCAATTAGGGTTAAGTGCTTTCCTCAAGGGTATATTGACAGATTTTAACCTCTTCCCCTAAAACAAGTATTTTTACTGGCATTAATTACTGCAAGGACATTTGCTGCACTTTCATGTCTGTCTGTTTGACTGCCTGCGTCTGTGTTTCTCTGCCTTCCCCCTCCATCATCCCAGGCAGAGTGTTCTACTCCGTGTCCGTGGAGAAGTTCACCTTCTACCAGGCAATGGACCAGTGTGCCAAACTAGGGGCCAAACTGGCCACCACAGGGCAGCTATATCTGGCCTGGAAGTCTGGCATGGACGTGTGTAATGCGGGCTGGCTGGCAGACAGAAGCGTCCGCTACCCCATCAACATCGCGAGGCCCCAGTGCGGTGGAGGATTACTAGGAGTGAGGACCGTGTATCTGTTCCCTAACCAGACAGGCTACCCCTACCCAGACTCCCACTATGACGCTATCTGCTACCAAGGTAACCCAGCCACCAGATTATATCTGAGGACTGCATATACCATAATGCACCACTGTTGCTATCAATCTCTTCAAGCTTGAACTACTGTTTTTGGTCAAGGCACCAAAAAGAGGTCGAAAAGAGGTCACAAGTAAATTGTTATAGTGTTAAAAAAGGAATCACTTCATTTTACAACAAAAAGGCACTGTGGATTACATGTGGTGTGTTAAAACCAGAATGATTTTCAGTAAGACAGAGTGTGGCTTTCACTTCACCTGCTGTCAATGATCTAATTCATAGAGGACAACGGTGCAGTCAAGACCACCCCGTTCCCAGAGGTGGCCACCATCACAGCCAGCCCCATGGTCTATCCAGGGCGTACCACCACCCCTGGAACTGAGGCACGGGGGGAGGTGCTGACCCAAGCCCCCCTGGACACCACCACCATGGCACTGACCTTACCCATCACACCCAGTGTGACTGACACCTATGCCAAGGTTACCCCGGTCGTGGGGGAAGAGATCATTAGCAGGGTGACAGCTAAACCTGATGTGGGCTTCGAGTTCCCTCGTGACAATGACACTGCCATGGCTCCTACAGGTTAGTGGTCTGTGCTGATCAGCAAAATTGTTTCTTACATTTTAGTAAACTTGGTCCTGGGGCCCCGCGCCCCCGGGTGCATGTTTTGGCTTTTGCCCTAGCACTACACAGCTGATTCAAATAACCAACTCATCATCAAGCTTTCATTATTTGAATCAGCTGTGTAGTGCTAGGACAAAAAACAAAACTGGCCCCACGACCGAGTTCGGGAATCCCTGATTCAGCAGACACTCTTATCCAGAGCAATTTATAAGCACAATTAGGATTAAGTATCTTTCTCAAGGGCACATTGACAGACTTTTTCCCTAGTCAGCTCAGGGATTCAAACCAGCAACCTTTCGGTTACTGGCCCAACTCTCTTAACCACTAGGCTACCTGCCAGCAGTAGTTGCTATTTTCAGTTCCAAGTGTAATAACTTAATTTCTATCTTTGGTTCTGTCTGTCTCTTCCCTGCCTTATCTTTCCGCTCTCCCCCTCCCTCTCTCCGTCCCTCTCTATAGGTGTGGTGTTCCACTACCGTGCTGGATTCAGTCGCTATGCCATGTCCTTCGTGGAGGCCCAGCTGGCCTGTCAGAGTGTGGGCGCGGTCATCGCCAGCTCCCAGCAGCTACAGGCAGCCTACGAGGCAGGGCTCCACCACTGTGATGCAGGCTGGCTCAGGGACCAGACCGTCAGGTGAGATGGATAGGGTACATCTCAGTAGTCAAAAGGTGGCCACTCAGTAGGGTTGCAAAATTCTGGAAACTTTATTAATGATCCTGGGTTTTCCCAGAAATCCCTGTTGGAGGATTCCTGCATATTCCCTTTTGATTCCAGAAATCCTCTGACTGGGATATCTGAGAAATGTGGAAACATTTCTGTATTTTTTTTTCTTTTTCTTCCTAAAGAGGACAGAAGTATGACTGCTTTCTAACCACACGTTTACCATCAACCCTGACCTTGCTCTCTCCTGTGGTCAGGTACCCCATCCTGTCTCCCAGAGATAAGTGTTCAGGCAACCTGGAGCATGTCCCAGGGGTGAGATCCTACGGCCTGAGACCTGCTACTGAGCAATACGACGTCTACTGCTATATGGACCGCCTCAAGGGTGAGAGACACGGACCCTATTCGTCTTCTGCTGCTTCTTCTTCTTCTACAGACCTTAGTTTCAGATGTTAAGTGATTTCTTCTTCTTCTTCTTCTTCTTCTTCTTCTACAGACCTTAGCTTCAGATGTTAAGTGAGTTCTTATTCTTCTTCTACAGGCCTTACTTCAGATGTTAAGTGATTTCTTCTTCTTCTACAGACCTTAGCTTCAGATGTTAAGTGATTTCATCTTCTTCTTCTACAGGCCTTAGCTGCAGATGTAAAGTGAACCATCACTCCTGAGTAAAACCTCCTGCCCTCTCTTCTCCCTCACTTCCCAGGGGAGCTGTTCTACACCAGTGACTATGACAGCTTCTCCTACGAGGAGGCCGTGGCCCACTGCCAGAAGCTCAACACTACGCTAGCCACCACAGGGCAGCTCTATGCCGCCTGGAGACAGGGCTTCGACAAGTGCCGTCCAGGCTGGCTGCAGGACCGCAGCGTCCGCTACCCCATCCGCATCCCCAGGCCCCACTGTGGAGGTGGCAAGGCCGGGGTACACACCATCTACGCCTTCCCCAACCAGACAGGAGACCCCGACCAGCACTCCAGATACGATGCATACTGCTTCAGAGGTATGCGTTTGGATCTGTTCAGGGTCATGGATAGAGTTACAAAACCCACAGAAGGTTGTGAGAATTACAATCTGTGACAATTAGAGGAATTCTTACCAGATTGTGTAATTTACTTGGAACTCTTGTTACTAAAATGGTCCCTGTTAAATCTCAACTGATTAAGCATACATTTATATAAGGCTCTGTGTCAATCCATTAAGAAATAATGGAGACATCCATTGAGCCATAAGCTTTAATAATGACAAATACAGCCACTGTTAAAAGTGTAACAATTATATTGTGTTGGTTTTCTTTGTTTTGTAGCTGAACGTGTGATTATTCACACTGAAACCAGACTCAACGTTACTGTAGTTGTCGAAGAGGAAATTATCAACATGACAACCAGAACAGATCAATTGACGCCTGGTAATATATCTCTATATTAAGTGTTCTACAGTATTTCTATATCCCAGCTAGTATTTCCTGTACATTTATCCTGCCGACTACGCCAAAAGTAACAGTTTTGCCTCTGTTTCAATCAAAATGCACAAGCTGTATTCTAGTCAATGTGTTAACATTAGATGTTCTTCTTCCTCTGTTCTCTCCATCTGTGGTTTCTCAGTGAGCCCCATCAAGCCACCTGCCTCTGTGGATGTGTCTGGTTCAGCCTCAGCTGATCATTCTGCCAGTGGTAGTGGCAGTGGAACTCCTGGCCAAAGTGGAGACACATCTGGTGGGGCAAGCGGTGAGGGCTCCGGGTCTGGCTTCCAAGTCACCTTCGAGGGCAGTGGACACGTCTTGTCCAGAGAGGGCTCTGGAGATCCTCAGGAGGCGGGAGAGGGGAGCACCACTGTCACCTACCCCCCGAGAGCTGGGTCTGGGGATAGTGGATCCGGGGTGGGGGTGGGAGATTTCAGCGGGTCTGGGGATAGTGGGTCTGGGGTGGGAGAGTTCAGTGGGTCTGGGGATAGTGGGTCCAGGGTGGGAGAGTTCAGTGGGTCTGGGGATAGTGGGTCCGGGGATAGTGGGTCCGGGTTGGAAGTGTTCAGTGGGTCCGGGGTGGGGGTGGGAGAGTTCAGCGTGTCTGGGGATAGTGGGTCTGGGGTGGGGGTGGGAGAGTTCAGTGGTGGGCTACCGTCCGGTGTCCTTCCTCACTCGGGTAGTGGCAGCGGGGTATCTGGGGACCTGAGCGGTAGCGGGGACTCTGTCATCATCATGGTGGATGGAGAGATGGTGGACATCGCCAAACGGCAGCCCACCGGACAGGAGTTTGGACAAGGAGGTGTGGACATCAGTGGCTCCGGAGGAATGTCTGGATCAGGTGGCTTCTTCAGCGGGGATGTGACCAGCACTTCTGGCTCCGGAAGTCCTGACATATCTTTCACACATTCAGGTCTCATTGACCTGACCGATCAGCCCTCGGGAGAACAGGAAGTTTCCGGCTACCAGACTTTCCCCTCTGGTTTTCCAAGCGGTTTCCCCTCTGGTTATCCGTCTGGTTTTCACAGCGGCTCTGGATTCCCATCTAGTGCGGACAGATCCCACTCAGGCTACGAGGTCATCTTCCTGACAGAAGACGGGATGATGGATGTGACGGCACGTCCAGGGGAGCAGCGTCTGGAGCAGGGCCGGGGTTACGTAGAGGTCAGTGGAGACGGCAGTAGCCACCATGAAGGGAGCACCTCGGCCATTGGGCTCTCCCTGGGGGGGTCACCATTTGCAGAGGGCCTGTCTGTGGTGCTGCCGCCTGGTTCTACCATGACTTACCCAGAGTACATCGCCAGTCTTGGCAACACAGGCAATGACCTGGATCTGATGGATAAAGTCCAGGAGCAGGAAGGGCTGGGAGGGTCCACAGAGACGATCTATGTCACTGCACCATCGGCAGTCTTCTCTAGCCCGACGACAGCACCCGCCGTCTCGATGGTGACCCCTGCTGTGGTGGAGGAGCCTGCTTTAGTTTACGGTATGTTGCTTAAAGGGATAGTACCGCAATATTTGATCAATTGGTCATATCTTACCTTAGAAGTGTTCTATAGGGTCAGTAGTTACAGCATCTATACTGAACAAAAATAAAATAAACGTAACATGCGACAATTTCAAAGTTTTTACTGAGTTACAGTTCATATAAGGAAATAAGTCAATTGAAATAAATTCATTAGGCCCTAATCTATGGATTTCACATGACTGGGCAGGGGTGCAGCCATGGGTGGGCCTTGGAGGGCATAGGCCCACCCACTGGGCAGCCAGGCCCAGCCAATCAGAACGATTTTTTTCCCCACAAGACAGCTTTATTACAGACAGAAATACTCCTCAGCACCCCCCACACCCCCCTTCAGATGATCCCACAGTTGAAGAAGCCGGATGTGGAGGTCCTGGGCTGGTGTGTCTATACGTGGTCTGCTGTTGTGAGGCCGGTTGCACGTACTGCCAAATTCTCTAAAACAATGTTGGAGGTATTAAATTATCTGACAACAGCTCTGGTGGACATTCCTGCAGTGAGCATGCCAATTTCCCGCTCCCCCCTCAAAACTTGAGACATCTGTGGCATTGTGTTGTGTGAGAACATTTTAAAGTGGCTTTTATTGTCCCCAGCACAAGGTGCACCTGTGTAATGACCATGCTATTTAATCAGCTTCTTGATATGCCACACCTGTCAGGTGGATGGATTATCTTGGAAAATGAGAAATACTCACTAACAGTGATGTAAACAAATTTGTGCACAGAATTTGAGAGAAATAAGCTTTTTGTACGTATGGAACATTTCTGGGATGTTTTTATTTCAGCTCATGAAACATAGCCCCAACACTTTACATGTTGCCTTTATATTTTTGTTCAGTGTACTATAAGACATTGTTTACTTGTCTTTATCCACCTCATGCTATCAGCTAGTGAACAACTTTCCCTGGTTAGCACATTGTCTAAATCAACCAATTCTTTGTTTGACCCTGCCTCTTTCTAGCTGCTCCTGAACCTTGTGAGCCTAACCCGTGTGGAGCAGGCACCTGCTCTGTGCAGGATGGCATCGCTTTGTGCCAATGCCCAAATGGATTCACTGGAGAGGACTGCAGCAGACGTGAGTCTCAGTGCCACCGCCATATGTTACGAGATGTATTGACATTGTCCACATATCTATTAAAGATATTTCACTCAACATTCTCGTATCTCAGTGATCTATCTGTTGTTATTTTCGTGTTTACATGCAAATTAAAGTTGCCATGTCCCACAACGTATTCTGTTAGAGAGGAGGGGGGAGTTGTATCAATAAATCAATAAATATCCAACATTCTACAGTAAATGTGTTCATGTGTCGATCTATCTATCTGTCTGTGTGTGCAGCGGTGCAGGGCTGTGTCGAGGGCTGGGTGGAATTCATGGGGAGCTGCTACCTGCACTTTGCTGAGAGAGACACCTGGCCTGACGCTGAGCAGCGCTGCCAAGAGCTCAACTCCCACCTGGTCAGCATCACCTCCCAACAGGAGCAGGAATTTGTCAACTGTGAGCAAAGAGATAGGATGTGTGCGGCGGTGGTTGTGGTGGTGGTGGGGGGGGGGGGGGGGGGGGGGGGGGGGGGGGCACAGCTTACTGTTGTAGTAGAATACACAAGGTGCAATTTCGAAATGTGTTTGTGCATCAGCAGTTTGCCTCTTATGTCAGTCAGTGGCTGTCACTCAATCAGCCCATGTCAGCTAACAATTATTTTACATTTGGTGAGTTAGTCTAGTAAATCTACCGACCGGGCAGGCAGGGCATGTGCCCAGGGGGCCCACATTGATTTTGTTAGTCACTCTCACTCAGATATCATATTAAACATGGTCATGGCAAATGTGTAGATTTGCTTGAAGTTAGTTATACAACTGAAAAATGTTCTCTCCACACCCTTGGCAAAATGTGTAGAATTGCAGAAAATGTGCTTCAAAACTGCAACATTTTCTCTCCACCCATGCATGGCAAAATGTGTATAATTGCAGGAAATTAATGTCAAAACGTAAAAACTATTCGCCGTCAAGAGCCACTAAAATGTTTTGCCTGCAAATCTCACTTAGGGTCCCAAAAAAGCCTAGGGTGGGCCCTGTATTTGCATTTGTATTTATTATGACATTAGCAAGGCAGCAGCTACTCTTCCTGGGGTCCAGCAAAATTAAGGCAGTTATAATTATTTTTTTAAACATTACAATACATTCACAACAGATTTGCCCTCAGGCCCCTACTCTACTACCACATATCCACAACACAAAATCCATGTGTACATGTGTGTATAGTGCGTGTTATCGTGTGTTTTTATGCATATGTCTATGCCTATGTTTGTGTTGCTTCACAGTTCCATAAGGTGTATTTATATCTGTTTTTTACATCTAATTTTACTGCTTGCATGAGTTACATGATGTGGAATAGAGTTCCATGTAGTCATGGCTCTGTGTAGTATTGTGCACCTCCCATAGTCTGTTCTGGATTTGGGGACTGTGAAGAGACCTCTGGTGGCATGTCTTGTGGGGTATGCATGGGTGTCCAAGCTGTGTGCCAGTAGTTCAAACAGACAGCTCGGTGCATTCAACATGTCAATACCTCTCACAAATACAAGTAGTGATGAAGTCAATCTCTCCTCCACTTTGAGCCAGGAGAGATTGATATGCATATTATTCATGTTAGCTCTCTGTGTACATCCAAGGGCCAGCTGCACTGCCCTGTTCTGAGCCAATTGCAATTTTCAGAGGTCCCTCTTTGTGGCACCTGACCACACGACTGAACAGTAGTCCAGGTGCGACAAAACTAGTGCCTGTAGGACCTGCTTGTTGATAGTGTTGTTAAAAAGGCAGAGAAGCACTTTATTATGGACAGACTTCTCCCCATCCTAGCTACTGTTGTATCAATATGTTTTGACCATGACAGTCAGTACTCCAAGCAGTTTAGTCTCCTCAACTTGCTCAATTACCACATTATTCATTACAAGATTTAGTTGAGGTTTAGGGTTTAGTGAATGATTTGTCCCAAATTACAATGCTTTTAGTTTTTGAAATATTTAGGTCTAACTTATTCCTTGCCACCCATTCTGAAACTAACTGCAGCTCTTTGTTAAGTGTTGCAGTCTTTTCAGTCACAGTGGTAGCTGACGTGTATAGTGTTGAGTCGTCCGCATACATAGACACACTGGCTTTACTCAAAGCCAGTGGCATGTCGTTAGTAAATATAGAAAAATGTAAGGGGCCTAGACAGCTGCCCTGGGGAATTCCTGATTCTACCTGGATTTTGTTGGAGAGGCTTCCATTAAAGAACACCCTCTGTGTTCTGTTAGACAGGTAACCCTTTATCCACAATAGAGCAGGGGGTGTAAAGCCATAACACATACGTTTTTCCAGCAACAGACTACGATGGATAATGTCAAAAGCCGCACTGAGGTCTAACAAAACAGCCCCCACAATCTTTTTATCATACATTTCTCTCAGCCAATCATCAGTCATTTGTGTAAGTTCTGTGCTTGTTGAATGTCCTTCCCTATAAGCATGCTGAAAGTCTGTTGTCAATTTGTTTACTGTAAAATAGCATTGTATCTGGTCAAACACCATTTTCCCCAAAAGTTTACTAAGGGTTGGTAACAGGCTGATTGGTCGGCTATTTGAGCCAGTAAAGGGAGCTTTACTATCCTTAGGTAGGGGAACTTTTGCTTCCCTCCAGGCCTGAGGGCACACACTTTCTAGTAGGCTTAAATTGAAGATTTAAGAAGATATGGCAAATAGGAGTGGCAATATCATCCGCTGTTATCCTCAGTAATTTTCCATCCAAGTTGTCAGACCCCGGTGGCTTGTCATTGTTGATAGACAACAATACTTTCTTCACCTCTTCCACACTTACTTTATGGAATTCAAAATTACAATGCTTGTCTTTCATAATTTGGTCAGATATACTTGGATGTGTAGCGTTTGTTGCTGGCATGTCATACCTAAATTTGCTAATCTTGCCAATGAAAAAATCATTAAAGTAGTTGGCAATATCAGTGGGTTTTGTTATGAATGAGCCATCTGATTCAATGAATGATGGAGCGGAGTTTGCCTTTTTGCCCAAAATGTCATTTAAGGTGCTCCAAAGCTTTTTACTATCATTCTTTATGTAATTTATCTTTGTTTCATAGTGTAGTTTCTTCTTCTTTTTATTCAGTTTAGTCACATGATTTTTTGCAGTACGTTTTTCAATTCTTCATCAATCTACGGGGATTTAACAATTTTTACAGCAATTTTCTTAATGGGGGCATGCTTATTAGTAACTGGGATAAGCAATTTCATAAATGTTTTAAGTGCAGCGTCTGGTTGCTCCTCATTACACACCACGGACCAACAAATATTTTGTACATCAACAACATAGGAATCACTACAAAACTTATTGTATGACCTCATACACTATATTAGGCCCAGCCTTTGGAACTTTGGTTTTCCTAGATATGGCTACTATATTGTGATCACTACATCCGATGGATTTGGATACTGCTTTCGAACAAAATTCTGCAGCATTAGTAAAGATGTGATCAATACATGTTGATGATTCCATTCCTGTGCTGTGTGTGTGTACGTAATAATTTTTTTGTCTCAGTTGTGAAATGTGTGTTTCTGAAGTGTGTGTGTGACGTGTGTGTGTGTGTGTGTGTGTGTGTGACATGCGCGTATGTGTCATTTATTTTAAGCACAGACATTAAACATATCTGATACATACATGACAGTTCACTGCTCTCTTCTCCATCTAGCTAATGCTCAGGACTATCAGTGGATTGGACTCAATGACAAGGTCGTGCAGAATGAGTTCCGCTGGACAGATGGCAGTCCATTGGTGAGTTTTTCTTTAGTCCAGTTCAGGTATCCCCTCTTATCGCCTCTCCTCTTATCACCTACTTTACTTTGATTTTATGTGCTTTGAAATGGGAAATGCTCTCTACAAATGAAATATAACAATAACAAGAAGAAGAAGACAAAGAAGCAGAAGAAGAATTTAAAATGAGCATTTGACTTGTTAATTCCATTTGGTCCACTTTTCTAATCTAACAGTTCTATTTTGATGTGTTCGCATGCAGGAATTTGAGAACTGGAGGCCCAACCAGCCGGATAACTACTTTAACTCTGGAGAGGACTGTGTGGTGATGATCTGGCACGAGAACGGCCAGTGGAACGACGTGCCCTGCAACTACCACCTGCCCTTCACCTGCAAGAGTGGACCTGGTAGGAGAAGGGTTTAGGGGTTGAGGTTCAGAGGGCACAGCACATTCATTGGGTCAGCTGTCAGTCACTGAGCCAACAGGACAGAGAAATATCGCTAGCCTTGCTTTTTTAAATATAGGGATGTCCGGAGGTGCTAGTCATGACTATGCACCAATCAGGGTTAATCAAGTGTTAAATCAAGTGTTATAGCTGCAATATGTAACTTTTTGGGCGACACTGACCAAAATCCCATAGAAATGTGAGTTATAGATCTGTCATTCTCATTAAAAGCAAGTCTAAGAAGCGGTAGATCTGTTCTATGTGCTCTATTTCTATGTTTCCTATTCTTAAGTTTCGTTTTTGCGTCTTTTACTTTTGGTTTTGTACACCAGCTTCAAACAGTTGAAAATACAATATTTTGGGTTAATTGAAAATATATTTTACAGTGGTTTGGATGGTACAATGGTTATCTACACTATACATTGCTTGTTTTGTCATTTAAACTGAATTTAGGAGAACTGTGTTTTAAACCTAATTGTTACCCACAAAAACCTTATTGTTGGCCCTCTCACTTTTTGTAGGAAACACATGGGCAGAAGGAGATCTTGGCTAATTCTTCTGGTTTCCCCTTTCTTCCCAGTCATGTGCCACTCGCCCCCAGAGGTGGACAACGCCAGACCGATGGGCAGCAGAAGAGACCGTTACCCCGTCAACTCTATAGTCCGCTACCAGTGTGACGCAGGCTTCACACAGCGCCACCCACCTGTTGTACGCTGCCTTCCCGACGGGCGGTGGGAGGAGCCTCAAGCGGAGTGCATAGAACGTGAGTCTGACCTGCTCCTTGTTAAGTCACTGGTGTCTCGTCCACTTCCATCCGAGATCAGCGTCTAATAACCTTGCAAATAACATCACACATACTGACAGAGTAACAACACAGGAGATATAGACATCATGAGAAATAACAGGACATCTCTAGGGAAACAAACCAATAACATTACAGTAAAGTACGCGAGATACGAGACACTATGGCAGGCAAACTCAAATCTCAACTTCGAAGCCAGTTCCATTGCTGATGTTCATTCTTCCCCTGTAATCAGGGACTGATTTAGACCTGGGACACCAGGTGGGTGCAATTCGTTATCAGGTGGGCCAGAAAATCGGCAGCCTGACTCCCGAGTGGCGCAGTGGTCTAAGGCACTGCATCGCAGTGCTAGCTGTGCCACTAGAGATCCTGGTTCGAGTCCAGGCTCTGTTGCAGCCGGCTGCGACCGGGAGACCCATGGGCGGCGCACAATTGGTCCAGCGTCGTCCAAGGTAGGGGAGGGTTTGGCCGGCAGGGATGTGGGTTCGTTTCCCACGGGGGGCCAGTATAAATGAGAACTTGTTCTCAACTGGCTTACCTGGTTAAATAAAGGTAAAAAAAAAAAAATTAAATAAAAAAAAAAAAACATGTACGCATTCACTAACTGTAAGTCGCTCTGGATGAGAGCGTCTGCTAAATGACTAAAATGTAAATGTAAATGTACTCCGAGTCCGAACCTCCAGGCTCAGATTTGACCCAATGGAATTTCCTTATTATTTTCCTTTGACGGTTATTCAGCAATATTTTGATGATGTCATCTCTCCCTCAGCCGGCGCCACCCCCAGCAACAGACTACGCAAGACGGCCACCAGGAGACGGTCTAAAACAGCCGACAGTCGGTCACGGAGGAAGCTCCTCTAAGCAGGACTGAAGGGACACACTAAAAGAGAACCAAATGGAGCGCTCATTGATACTCAACGCCATTTTGCCTGACCAAAAAACATAACGTTCCCATCAGGGGTGGAAATGGAAAAAAGTAACTTTGGGAACCCACCAATGTAAAATCCTTGAAATCACTTAAAGCTAATTTTTTACAAAATGATTTAATTCCCCCATTTCCACCCCTGATTCCCACCATGTGTATATATGTGTATATATATATATATATATATATATATATATATATATATACACACACAGTGAGGGAAAAAAGTATTTGATCCCCTGCTGATTTTGTACGTATGCCCACTGACAAAGAAATGATCAGTCTATAATTTTAATGGTAGGTTTATTTGAACAGTGAGAGACAGAATAACAACAAAAAAATCCAGAAAAATGCATGTCAAAAATGTTATTAATTTATTTGCATTTTAATGAGGGAAATAAGTATTTGACCCCTCTGCAAAACATGACTTAGTACTTGATGGCAAAACCCTTGTTGGCAATCACAGAGGTCAGACGTTTCTTGTAGTTAGCCACCAGGTTTGCACACATCTCAGGAGGGATTTTGTCCCACTCCTCTTTGCAGATCTTCTCCAAGTCATTAAGGTTTCGAGGCTGACGTTTGGCAACTCGAACCTTCAGCTCCCTCCACAGATTTTCTATGGGATTAAGGTCTGGAGACTGGCTAGGCCACTCCAGGACCTTAATGTGCTTCTTCTTGAGCCACTCCTTTGTTGCCTTGGCCGTTTGTTTTGGGTCATTGTCATGCTGGAATACCCATCCACGACCCATTTTCAATGCCCTGGCTGAGGGAAGGAGGTTCTCACCCAATATTTGACGGTACATGGCCCCATTCATCGTCCCTTTGATGCGGTGAAATTGTCCTGTCCCCTTAGCAGAAAAACACCCCCAAAGCATAATGTTTCCACCTCCATGTTTGACTGTGGGGATGGTGTTCTTAGGGTCATAGGCAGCATTCCTCCTCCTCCAAACACGGCGAGTTGAGTTGATGCCAAAGAGCTCAATTTTGGTCTCATCTGACCACAACACTTTCACCCAGTTCTCCTCTGAATCATTCAGATGTTCATTGGCAAACTTCAGACGGGCATGTATATGTGCTTTCTTGAGCAGGGGGACCTTGCGGGCGCTGTAGGATTTCAGTCCTTCACGGTGTAGTGTGTTACCAATTGTTTTCTTGGTGACTATGGTCCCAGCTGCCTTGAGATCATTGACAAGATCCTCCTGTGTAGTTCTGGGCTGATTCCTCACCTTTCTCATGATCATTGCAACTCCACAAGGTGAGATCTTGCATGGAGCCCCAGGCCGAAGGAGATTGACAGTTATTTTGTGTTTCTTCCATTTGCGAATAATCGCACCAACTGTTGTCACCTTCTCACCAAGCTGCTTGCCGATGGTCTTGTAGCCCATTCTAGCCTTGTGTAGGTCTACAATCTTGTCCCTGACATCATTGGAGAGCTCTTTGGTCTTGGCCATGGTGGAGAGTTTGGAATCGGATTGATTGATTGCTTCTGTGGACAGGTGTCTTTTATACAGGTAACAAACTGAGATTAGGAGCACTCCCTTTAAGAGTGTGCTCCTAATCTCAGCTCATTACCTGTATAAAAGACACCTGGGAGCAAGAAATCTTTCTGATTGAGAGGGGGTTAAATACTTATTTCCCTCATTAAAATGCAAATCAATTTATAGCATTTTTTACATGCGTTTTTCTGGATTTTTTTGTTGTTATTCTGTCTCTCACTGTTCAAATAAACCTACCATTAAAATTATAGACTGATCATTTCTTTGTCAGTGGGCAAACGTACAAAATCAGCAGGGGATCAAATATTTTTTTCCCTCACTATATATATATATATATATATATATATATATATATATATATATATATATATATATATATATATATATATATATAAAAACACCAACGCGCATTAGACATGATTTTGTAGTCCGACTGACAATCTCTGAGTGTCACTCTGTGCCTTTGCGAGGGATATAGGGCAGGGGTTCTCAACCTGGTGTACTGGTAATCCTTGGGGTACATGGCCTATCCACAGAGTATTTGGGAAGACTCATGTAAGTCTAATTGAGGGGATACTTTGGGCAGAGCATTATGTGATTTGGGGGTACAGTCATGAAAAAAGGTTGAGAACCACTGATACAGGGGGATATAGGGACGTTCATCTTGTGTCAGCATCATTTAGAAGGTTCATTGGTTTATGGCTGTGTTCAGCCATTGGAGTCTGTTTATGGCTGTGTTCAGCCATTGGAGTCTGTTTATGGCTGTGTTCAGCCATTGGAGTCTGTTTATGGCTGTGTTCAGCCATTGGAGTCTGTTTATGCCTGTGTTCAGCCATAGGAGTCGATGTATGGCTGTGTTCAGCCATAGGAGTCGATGTATGGCTGTGTTCAGCCATTGGAGTCGATGTATGGCTGTGTTCAGCCATTGGAGTCAATGTATGGCTGTGTTCAGCCATTGGAGTCAATGTATGGCTGTGTTCAGCCATTGGAGTCTGTTTATGCCTGTGTTCAGCCATAGGAGTCGATGTATGGCTGTGTTCAGCCATTGGAGTCGATGTATGGCTGTGTTCAGCCATTGGAGTCGATGTATGGCTGTGTTCAGCCATTGGAGTCGATGTATGGCTGTGTTCAGCCATTGGAGTCTGTTTATGCCTGTGTTCAGCCATAGGAGTCGATGTATGGCTGTGTTCAGCCATTGGAGTCAATGTATGGCTGTGTTCAGCCATTGGAGTCAATGTATGGCTGTGTTCAGCCATTGGAGTCTGTTTATGCCTGTGTTCAGCCATAGGAGTCGATGTATGGCTGTGTTCAGACATTGGAGTCGATCTATGGCTGTGTTCGGGCCATTGGAGTCTGTTGATTGGGTGGTAGATCGTTTTGGTCCCTTATGTAATACTCTGACCAGGGTGGAAACGATGACTCTCAAAGAGACGCTGGCCAGGTAATAAAAAGGAATGGATAGTATTATTTATTTGGGAGTCCCAACTGAATGGAGTGGGAAAGAAACATCCCTCCCCAAGACACTAGGGTGACACTGACGGGCAAGAACAGAGCAAAAAAGTGTTTGAGATTGCAGCTGGATACTCTGAAGTCAAGCACATTGTTAAATTTTTATGACAATTAGGATATCTTTTTTTTATTTTCTGTTGTTGTTAGTTTATGTTTGTTAATTAGCTTTTTGTCCTAGTGTTGGACCCTTGGACCAAATAGGAAACAACTCCTGTATGTAAAGAAGAGCCACGTTTGTCTGTTTCTGAATGTCCAACAGTTCCTCCAACTCTGTATGACAATGGTACAGTATTGTGCTGTCATCATGGATCTTTTCCCCCAAATAATTCAGAACATAGAGATGGCTAGAGGGCTCACTAAGCCCAATGGTGGAAAAAGTACACAATTGTCATACTTGAGTAAAAGTAAAGATACCTTCATAGAAAATGACTCGAGTAAAATTGAAAGTCACCCAGTAAAATAATACTTGAGTAAAAGTCTAAAATTATTTGGTTTTAAATATACTTAAGTATCAAAAGTAAATGCAATTGCTAAAATATACTTATTATTATTATTATTAATATGCCATTTAGCAGACGCTTTTATCCAAAGCGACTTACAGTCATGCGTGCATACATTTTTGTGTATGGGTGGTCCCGGGGATCGAACCCACTACCTTGGCGTTACAAGCGCCGTGCTCTACCAGCTGAGCTACAGAGGACCACAAGTATCAGTATACTTAAGTATCAAAAGTAAAGATCATTTCAAATTCCTTATATTAAGCCATTTAAAAAAAAAATACGGATAGCCAGGGGCATGCTCCAACACTCAGACATAATTTACAAACGAAGCAGGGATGTTCTCTTGATTAGTGCATGAATTGGAGCATTTTCCTGTCCTGCTAAGCATAAAAAAATGTAAGGAGTACTTGTGGGTGTCAGGGAAAATGTATGGCGTAAAAAGTACATCATTTTCTTTAGGAATGTAGTGAAGTAAAATGAAAGTTGTCAAAAATATAAATAGTAAAGTAAAGTACAGCTACCCAAAAAAACTACTTAAGTAGTACTTTCAATTATTTTTACTTAAACACTTTACACCACTGACTATGCCTCCTTTTGGCATTAAGAAATTGAAATATTTCTCAACGTCGATTCCAAAGCTGTCACAGAAGCGATCAGTGGCAAAGACAGGAGGTGTGCTCTCTTTCCATCTCTATGCTTCAGAACAATCTAGAGGTGAGAACGCCATGGATACAACTGTAGCTGCATTGCCTTAAGACAGGTGGCGCCATTCCTATACAAAACTGCATTATTTGGCGTAAGACTATAGCTGAGGATTTATGTACGGCATGACAGCGATAGAAGATTTGACTACAGCACATGCAGTGTGGGAACAGGCTAACATCTTACAATCCATGTGACCTTACAATCCATGTGACCTTACAATCCATGTGACCTTACAATCCATGTGACCTTACAATCCATCCGCTAATACACAGACGACCAGACACCTTGTATGGGGCCAATCCTTGAGTGCTACTCTTAGAGAATTAATCAGACGATAGATTCTGTGTTTGTGTTTGTCTGTCTATTTCTCACTGTGAACTCTTTCAAACTACGCTTTCGATATCACATATCAAGCATTCTGATTCATGAGTCCTATCAGATGAAAAATAAACATCTGTTGACCTTATTCACAACCCCAAGTCCCTTTGTGTGCAGGAAGGGAATTATGAAGGGGTTGAATTGGTACTGGAGCACTTGAAAATGAATTGACACCAGTAGCATGACAAGCTGTGAAGGCAAAAAGAAAGTTAGAGAAGGAGGAGTAAGAGGATGTGTTAAGTTGACGAGGATCCTTTTGGGCCGAGACATGTTTAATGTTTGGGGAGCAGGGTCTATACTCAAGCTCCCCACCCACCCGACTCACGCACATTCAACAAACACACTCACAGGACAACACAATGCTCTCACGTTCCAACGTGATGTCAACGTTTGGTGAATGGTTGACTGGTTTATGGGTGTCTTAGTGTAGAGGGAAGTCGCACACGTGCACACACACACACACACACAATAATTGTGTGTGTGAATGTGTATGAGACATAATGTATGGTGTGTGTGTGTGTGTGTGTTTAATAAGTGTTTGAGCACAAACAACATAGCTACTGCACATGTGATAATGTTCATGCAGTGTGTGACAACGTTCTGATGAGGGATTCTGATGTCAACAAATATAAAATAAAATCTGAAATCCTCTTTGTCTGTTCAGTAACTATATTAGACATTAAGAAAGTATGTGTGCTGCAATTGTGATTGAATGTATCCAAGCTATCTTTGATTTAGGTATTGCATTTATATTTATTGCATTTTACATAGTATTATACTGGGTATATCAGTAATCCAACACCTAGCAACATTGACAAGGGGTTCAGATATTTTGGCATAACGACTAAGGTATTGGGTTGGTGGAGCCAGTAACTGTGTGTGTTGTGTTGTGTGTGTTGTGTTGTGTGTGTGCGTGTGGTGTGTGTGCGTGTGTGTGGTGCGTGCGTGTGTGTGTGGTGCGTGTGGTGCGTGTGTGTGTGTGCGTGTGTGGTGTGTGACCCAGCTCCCAGTCCAGTTCAGAGCTACCCTCCCAACATGCAGCTACAGTATTAAGACATTATAAAAAGTGAGGTCTTACAAGAGAGGTACTGTGCATGCAGTGTATTAGTACATTAAGAGGGTCTATCAAAGAGATCAAAAAGCTTATTTTGCTAGCCTCGCCAAGTATCTAACAAGACATTCTCTGATTAAGAATGAGTGCCATTCAAATCAATCCACACCCATATATAAACCAGCGACACATCCCTGACCGTAGCTGTGTGCATAAACTCACTATTTAGAATATCCGTACCCCCTCAAAGTGAACAAACAAGCAAGTCAATATCTCTCTTAGGTCTGTCTCTACAGAGCATACCTTCATCGCCTGCAGGCTCCCCAAACAAGCCTGCCCTATGTGGGCGCATGCATGTGTATGTGTTTGTTTGTGTTCGTTAGTGTGTGTGTGTGTGTGTGTGTGTGTGTGTGTGTGTGTGTACAGTATGTGTGTGTGTGTGGTGTGTGTGTACAGTATGTGTGTGTGTGGTGTGTGTGTGTACAGTATGTGTGTGTGTGGTGTGTGTTCCGCCCGTTTTTTCAAAGCAGGTGTAAATAAAACGTGCATTTTTTGAGGCCTCAGGAATCATACAATTACAGGGACCTCTGTTTGCTCCTTAAGAGATGGAAGGAGAGTACTGGTTTAGTACTGCCTACTGCCTTTCACTCTGTTCAACTCTCTCCCCCTTCATTCAAAGTGCTATGGTTCAACTCTCTCCCCCTTCATTCAAAGTGCTATGGCTCAACTCTCTCCCCCTCCATTCAAAGTGCTATGGTTCAACCCTCTCCCCCTTCATTCAAAGTGCTATGGTTCAACTCTCTCCCCTTCATTCAAAGTGCTATGGTTCAACTCTCTCCACCTCCATTCAAAGTGCTACGGTTCAACTCCCTCCCCTTCATTCAAAGTGCTATGGTTCAACTCTCTCCCCCTTCATTCAAAGTGCTATGGCTCAACTCTCTCCCCCTCCATTCAAAGTGCTATGGTTCAACTCTCTCCCCCTTCATTCAAAGTGCTATGGCTCAACTCTCTCCCCCTCCATTCAAAGTGCTATGGTTAAACTCTCTCCCCCTCCATTCAAAGTGCTATGGTTCAACTCTCTCCCCCTTCATTCAAAGTGCTATGGCTCAACTCTCTCCCCCTTCATTCAAAGTGCTGTGGCTCAACTCTCTCCCCTCCATTCAAAGTGCTATGGTTCAACTCTCTCCCCCTCCATTCAAAGTGCTATGGTTCAACTCTCTCCCCCTTCATTCAAAGTGCTATGGCTCAACTCTCTCCCCCTCCATTCAAAGTGCTATGGTTAAACTCTCTCCCCCTCCATTCAAAGTGCTATGGTTCAACTCTCTCCCCCTTCGTTCAAAGTGCTATGGCTCAACTCTCTCCCCCTCCATTCACAGTGCTATGGTTAAACTCTCTCCCCCTCCATTCAAAGTGCTATGGTTCAACTCTCTCCCCCTCCATTCAAAGTGCTATGGTTCAACTCTCTCCCCCTCCATTCAAAGTGCTATGGCTCACCTCTCTCCCCCTTCATTCAAAGTGCTATGGCTCAACTCTCTCCCCCTTCATTCAAAGTGCTGTGGCTCAACTCTCTCCCCTCCATTCAAAGTGCTATGGTTCAACTCTCTCCCCCTCCATTCAAAGTACTATGGTTCAACTCTCTCCCCCTTCATTCAAAGTGCTATGGCTCAACTCTCTCCCCCTCCATTCAAAGTGCTATGGTTAAACTCTCTCCCCCTCCATTCAAAGTGCTATGGCTCAACTCTCTCCCCCTCCATTCAAAGTGCTATGGCTCAACTCTCTCCCCCTCCATTCAAAGTGCTATGGTTAAACTCTCTCCCCCTTCATTCAAAGTGCTATGGCTCAACTCTCTCCCCCTCCATTCAAAGTGCTATGGTTAAACTCTCTCCCCCTCCATTCAAAGTGCTATGGTTCAACTCTCTCCCCCTTCATTCAAAGTGCTGTGGCTCAACTCTCTCCCCCTCCATTCAAAGTGCTATGGTTCAACTCTCTCCCCTTCATTCAAAGTGCTATGGTTCAACTCTCTCCCCCTTCATTCAAAGTGCTATGGTTCAACTCTCTCCCCTTCATTCAAAGTGCTATGGCTCAACTCTCTCCCCCTCCATTCAAAGTGCTATGGTTAAACTCTCTCCCCCTCCATTCAAAGTGCTATGGTTCAACTCTCTCCCCTTCATTCAAAGTGCTATGGTTAAACTCTCTCCCCCTCCATTCAAAGTGCTATGGTTCAACTCTCTCCCCCTTCATTCAAAGTGCTGTGGCTCAACTCTCTCCCCCTCCATTCAAAGTGCTATGGTTCAACTCTCTCCCCTTCATTCAAAGTGCTATGGTTCAACTCGCTCCCCCTTCATTCAAAGTGCTATGGTTCAACTCTCTCCCCCTTCATTCAAAGTGCTATGGCTCAACTCTCTCCCCCTCCATTCAAAGTGCTATGGTTAAACTCTCTCCCCCTCCATTCAAAGTGCTATGGTTCAACTCTCTCCCCCTCCATTCAAAGTACTATGCCCAGACTGAGTGGCGCATGCTGTGCGCACACACACACACACAGTGCCCTGCTTGTATGGGTCAGCGTGGCCCCTTTCACCTCTCTTTCCCAGGATCCCTCTGCTGTCAGGTAGTACCCCCACTGTGACACCAGCGCCTTCTAGTGGTGATTATATGAATCAGCAAGAGGATTTATTTAACAAGCAGCAGGGTTGTGTTCATGAGGCACAAAACGGAAGAGAATCAACTCAAAACGAGGAGAGACTACCTGGACAATAAACACACAGTTTTATTTTATGTTGCAAAGTGTTTTTTTTAAAGTTTTTAGTGTGGCCTAATGAACAGGACCTAGCCAGCATTGGCAGGCACACATAAGTGTTAGTATATTTCTATATATGGTGTCCGGGTCAACTCCAGCAAATAGTTACATCATCTATTCAAATGTAAGGTATTGAAAGCAGTTTTGTGTCAGTAATGGACGATTCAGATTTTTTTGGGGGGGTAAAGACTTGAGCATTTCCAATCTCTTGGCATGATTTTATTCATTTGGTAGAACATTTAATTAAACTCATACAACCTGATTAAAAGTAGCATGCTATAGATGGAAGCCTTTAAAACTGAACTCTCTACAAGGTCATTAAAATACTGTCAAATCCCCTTTCCAACATGACACAGTTTATATACCACCACCCATCGTCATCAAGTTCATCACTCAATTTCAAGCCTTATAAAAACCAGACATGAAAAGACATTCTACCACAATGAGGATAATCCAGAAATGTGCCTAAGACTATGAACAGACTGAAATTACTGCAGGAACAGTGAGAGAGCAACACACAGTTCAACAAAACACCAAGGGAAAGAGCTTGGCAAAGCATCATGAGGGGCATTGCCGTGGTTGAACACCTTCCCTGAGTTTAAAATGGAACGACCCTTTACTGTGAGCCAAACCTGGCAACACAACCCTAAATAGCCATTCATTATGCAGTAGTTGTATCAGTGCTGGTTGGAGTCTCAGTGTGACTGATAGTATGTTCAGTATGAGGAGATGAAGACAGTGCAGTAGGGGACAGTTCACTAGAACTATACAGTGGACACTGTGAGAACAGAACTAGCTAATGCTAAGTAGCATGCAGGCTAGGGTTGTGTGACCGTGCACTGTCTGTGGCGAATGGAGAAGTTGACTAGTATAGGCTATCTGTCGTACTGATTTATACTGCTATACTGTGGTTTTCGTTGAGTGGAAGTTGAGGGGGGTTTACCGATTGCAGTAGACACTGTATTTCTGCTGCTGAGGGGGGAAGCCGAAATGACGCACCCCTGGTTCTGAGGGGCCGCAGTTAGGGCGGGCCTTGGCGATGGGGTAACGGACGCTCCCATCGGCCAACCAGCCCGCGTCGCAGAGGTCCAATCCCATGAACCTCCAGGCGGCGTAGAGTTGGCCCACCTTGGCGATGTGACCTCCGTCATCAACGCACGCCGCCACCGCCTCGGTGAAGTTGAACTTCTGGGGTCGTTTCAGGAAGTAGACTGTACCTGTGACAGAAGAGACAGAACAGGATATAGTAGTACTAAGCATGTGTAAGGAGGGGACCGCTTAAAAGATGTGGAAGGAGGGGACCGCTTAAAAGATGTGGAAGGAGGGGACCGCTTAAAAGATGTGGAAGGAGGGGACCGCTTAAAAGATGTGGAAGGAGGGGACCGCTTAAAAGATGTGGAAGGAGGGGACCGCTTAAAACACGTGTAAGGAGGTGACCGTTTAAAACACGTGTAAGGAGGTGACCGTTTAAAACACGTGTAAGGAGGGCCCAGCTTAAAACAAGTTGGTCAACTGCATTCATGTCCATTCTTTCACATTTCTCAATTGTCTTGAAACACTTTGATTTTGCTGAAGTGTTTTGTATGTGTTTTTGGAGACCAATATTGACACACACACACACACACACGCACACACACACACACACACACACACTGACCCTTGGGGGCGGCTGAGAAACAGAAGGCGTCAAAGCGGTGGAGGTGGCGGTGGTGTTGTCCGGAACTACGGAGACCAGGGGCTAAGTCCACGCCCCCACAGGCCTCCCGTGGTGTGGTGATTGGATACTGAGCCGTCCCATCAGCCAACCAGCCGGCGTTGCACCAGTCTAGCCCCTCCTCCCAGGCGGCAAAGAGCTGGTCGAAGGTGGCCAGGGTCGAATCCTGCTCCTCACACGCACGCTGGGCCCCCAGGAAGCTGAAATGGTAGCGGCCCTTCTGGGAGTTGTAGGGAAATACCACTCCTATAATGGGGAAAAAGTTAGACATGTTCTATAGGGGTTAAAGTGCTAAAGGATCCAGCAACTGTCCTTGCAGTGACTAATGCCAGTAAAGACACTTGTAAGGACAATATGTTAAAGGTAATTTCAAAAACAGATTGAACGGAGTAGACTGTGTTCTGTTCAGAGCTGAGGGAGCTGTCTCGACACATACACACACAAACACAGACACACACAGACCTCGCAGCTCCAGCTCCACCGTCACGCTCTCGTCCTCCAGCCCGTCGATGACCTCACAGCGGTAGCGGCCTGTGTCGTTCATGTGCAGCTCCTTGATCACTAGCGACATGTCCCCTGGCGCAGCCCGACGCAGGCGCACCCTCCCCTGGAAGCTGCCGTAGCTACGGTGACGGTTGCCCATGGCGACCATCACGTCGGTCTCGCGGGTGGTCTTGCTGGCGCCGTTGGTGGGCAGCCAAGACCATTTGACCCGGGTCCGACGGGGTCCGTTGATCTCGGGTTCGTAGCGGTAGTGACAGGGCAGGGTGACATCACTACCCCTGGCCGCCGACACTGAGGGCTGAGAGGACTCCACATGGAGACGGACCCCGTTAAAGTAGACTGGAGAAGACACAGTAGTGACAAGGACACAGGATAGATAAGAGTCATACAGTAGAAACAGGATTGATAAGTCATACAGTAGAAACAGGATTGATAAGTCATACAGTGGAAACAGGATAGATAAGAGTTTTACAGTAGATACAGGATCGATAAGAGTTATATCATACAGTAGATACTGTATAGGGAACAGGTCTTTTTCCTGACCATGTGATTAGACCAGAGACCCAAATACACCTGGGTCTGCCTCCAGTGTATTTGGGTCTTCCCAGGTTACCAGACCCTATTTGGAACCCTTGTGAATGTTGTGCCTATGATATCTAACCTGCTCTCAGGTCGTGCAGGTTTATTTACATACAGTGCCTTCACAAAGTATTCATACCTCTTGACTTATTCCACATTTTGTTGCGTTAGAGCCTGAATTCAAAATTGATTAAATTGTTGTTGTTTTTTCTCACCCATCTAAACACAAAATCCTCCATAATGACAAAGTGAAAACATGTTTTTAGAAATGTTTGCTAATTTATTGAAAATGAAATACATAAATATCTAATTTACATACAGTTGAAGTCGGAAGTTTACATACACTTAGGTTGGAGTCATTAAAACTTGTTTTTCAACCACTCCACAAATGTCTTGTTAACAAACTATAGTTTTGGCAAGTTGGTTAGGATATCTACTTTGTGCATGACACAATTTTTCCAACAATTGTTTACAGAGATTATTTCACTTATAATTCACTGTATCACAATTCCAGTGGGTCAGAAGTTTACATACACTAAGTTGACTGTGCCTTTAAACAGCTTGGAAAATTCCAGAAAATGATGTCATGGCTTTAGAAGCTTCTGATAGGCTAATTGACATCATTTGAGTCAATTGGAGGTGTACCTGTGGATGTATTTCTTGGCCTACCTTCAAACTCAGTGCCTCTTTGCTTGACATCATGGGAAAATCAAAATAAATCAGCAAAGACCTCAGAATTTTTTTTTTTAGACCTCCACAAGTCTGATTCATCCTTGGGAGCAATTTCCAACCGCCTGAAGGTACCACGTTCATCTGTACAATTAATAGTACGCAAGTATAAACACCATGGGACCACACAGCCGTCATACCGCTCAGGAAGGAGACGCGTTCTGTCTCCTAGAGATGAACGTACTTTGGTGCGAAAAGTGCAAACCAATCCCAGAACAACAGCAAAGGACCTTGTGAAGATGCTGGAGGAAACATATACTTTTGTACCTATATCCACAGCAAAACGAGTCCTATATCGACATAACCTGAAAGGCCGCTCAGCAAGGAAGAAGCCACTGCTCCAAAACCGCCATAAAAAAGACAGAGTACGGTTTGCAACTGCACATGGGGACAAAGATCGTACTTTTTGGAGAAATGTCCTCCAGTCTGATGAAACAAATTAGAACTGTTTGGCCATAATCACCATCAGTTATGTTTGGAGGAAAAAGGGGGTGCTTGCAAGCCGAAGAACACCATCCCAACCGTGAAGTACGGGGGGGGGGGGGGGGGTGCTTTGCTGCAGGAGGGTCTGGTGCACTTCACAAAATAGATGGCATCATGAGGAAGGAAAATTATGTGGATATATTGAAGCAACATCTCAAGACATCAGTCAGGAAGTAAAAGCTTGGTCGCAAATGGGTCTTCCAAATTGACAATGACCCCAAGCATACTTCCAAAGTTGTGGCAAAATGGCTTAAGGACAACAAAGTAAAGGTATTGGAGTGGCCATCACAAAGCCCTGACCTCAATCCTATAGAAAATGTGTGGGCAGAACTGAAAAAGTGTGTGCGAGCAAGGAGGCCTGCAAACCTGACTCAGTTACACCAGCTCTGTCAGGAGGAATGGGCCAAAATTCACCCAACTTATTGTGGGAAGCTTGTGGAAGGCTACCCGAAATGTTTGACCCAAGTTAAACAATTTAAAGGCAACGCTACCAAATACTAATTGAGTGTATGTAAACTTCTGACCCAATGGGAATGTGATGAAAGAAATAAAAGCTGAAATAAATAATTCTCTACTATTATTCTGACATTTCACATTCTTAAAATAAAGTGGTGATCCTAACTGACCTAAGACAGAGAATTGTTACTAGGATTAAATGTCAGGAATTGTGAAAAACTGAGTTTAAATGTATTTGGCTAAACTTCCGACTTCAACTGTAGGTATTCACACCCCTGAGTCAATAAATGTTAGAATCACCTTTGGCAACGATTACAGCTGTGAGTCTTTCTGGGTAAGTCTCTAAGAGCTTTGTACACCTGGATTGTACAATATTTGCATATTATTCTTTTTTAAATTCATCAAACTGTCAAGTTGGTTGTTGATCATTGCTAGACAAACCATTTTCAGGTCTTGCGATAGATTTTCAAGTAGGTTTAAGGCAAAACTGTAACTAGTCTACTTAGGAACATTCAATGTCGTATTGGTAAGTAACTCCAGTGTATATTTGGCCTTGTGTTTCAGATTATTGTCCTGCTGACAGGTGAATTTGTCTCCCAGTGTCTGTTGGAAAGCAGACTGAACCAAGTTTTCCTCTAGGATTTTGCCTGTACTCTATTCCGTTTCTTTTTATCCTAAAAAACTCCCTAGTCCTTGCCAGTGACAAGCATACCCATAACATGATGCAGCCATCATCATGCTTGAACATATGAAGAGTGGTACTCAGTGATGTGTTGGATTTGCCCCAAACCTAACGCTTTGTATTCAGGACACAAAGTTAATTTCTTTGCCACATTTTTTGCAGTTTTCCTTTAGTGCCTTATTGCAAACAGGATGCATGTTTTGGAATGTTTGTATTCTGTACAGGCTTCCTTCTTTTCACTCTGTCAATTAGGTTAGTATTGTGGAGTAACTACAATGTTATTGATCCATCCTCAGTTTTCTCCTATCACAGCCATTAAACTCTATAATTGTCTTCTTTACGAGGCATTGGAAAACCTCCCTGGTCTTTGTGGTTGAATCTTTGTTTGAAATTCACTGCTCGACTGAGGGACCTTACAGATAAGTGTATGTGTGGGTTACAGAGATGAGGTAATCATTCAAAAATCATGTTAAACACTATTATTGCACACAGAGTGAGTCCATGGAACTTATATAACTTGTTAAGCAAATGTTTACTCCTGAACTTATTTAGGCTTGCCATAACAAAGGGGTTGAATAATTATTGACTCAAGACATATCAGCTTTTCATTCTTAATTAATTTGTAAAAATGTTTTAAAACATAATTCAACTTTGACATTATGGGGTATTGTGTGTAGGCCAGTGGAACAAAACCTCAATTTAATCAATTTTAATTTCAGGCTGTAACACAACAAAATGTGGAAAAAGTAAAGGGGTGTGAATTATTTCTGAAGGCACTGCGACAAACTGTCTAAGTTAATACCACCCCACCTTAGGCACGGTCAGACTGACCACATTCTGACATAAACAATGGAATGGTCTTGGATCCGACATGTGGATGGGCCCCCCTCAAGAACATTATATCCTTTTCACACTACAGTGCCAATCCAAACCATACTGTGCTGGCGCTAATATTTTCTTTTCACATTCTCTGTTCGGTTTGGGCAACTGGTGGATGCGGAATCAGGCCAGCCCAGTACACCGCTGCACGGCTTGGCTCAGTAGTGTGAAAAGGGTATAACAGTGTTCTCTCTGTGTTTGTGGCTTGTATGACCTACTCTCTCCGTTGCCATCGCCGTTCATGATGTCGTGGTAGAAAAAGCCATTGTTGTATCTGGGGGCGGCGTGGCTGGAGACGAGGAGGTACATCCAGACGACCAGTAGGGGGCGTAGTGAGCTCAACATCCTCAGAGTGGAACACTGGATCAACAGGGGATTCATGTCATACAGGCTTCAAAAACACAATTTACGATTGGTTAAATTAATAGACTGGTTCATTCCACTCAATTATTCCCTATCAAATCACCTTTGTACATTTGTAAAAGTTTGTATATATTTCCTTAATTCATATGGATTTGGCAGATTTGATTATATTCCAGACAGTTATATGCTGTTGTAAATTAATCTCAAATTCAATCAATTAAATTATTTAATTTGATTAAACTAGATTTTACCTGTTATTAGTTTAACAACTGTGGTCAAATAATGTATTTAATCACCAGTAGAGATCGCTGAAACCTTATTATATTATAAATTAATTATGTCTCTTGGGCAAAGATACTTTCATCTGTGCTTGGAGGTTTACATTTATGACAATCATACCTCCTAGAACAACATAATAAAGTATAATATTTACAAAAGAAAATGTATAAGGAAAAACGATGTACTATTAAAAAGTGTAATATACTTCCCGTATCACCCACAAATCATGATTCATTTGCAAATAAATGTGTCAAATAAATGTCAAAACAATGAGTTGGTGCGGTAAAACAGAATAAGTACAGCACAAAGTCACGAAATCACATATTGTACTTTCATCTTGAAGTATTTGAGAGAGAAAAATCGGAACATTTCTTTTGCACAGTTTAACCAAAGACAAATCAAGTGCAATGATTAAAAAACGGTCTTATAATTAAAAGAACCCGAAATACAGGCTATTGTTCAGTCAGAATATACTTTTTGTCACAACTATGTTTTTAAAATATATATTAAACTAGACCGTGCAGTAGCCTATGGTTTTCTAATTCTCTCTAACAAGTCTTTCTTCTCTAATCGTCCATCTACTTTGATTGTTTAATCACTTTCAAGTTGTCGTTGGCAAGGTAATTTTTATTCAATTATCTATTTGGCATCACTCAAAACAGTTTAGTTTAACTCGAACCATTCACAGGCCACATTCCAATATCCCAAAGTCATAAAAATAAAACTACTTACAGATTTAACGTCGTGTCAGTTCATGTTCCCCCTGACGTTCCTTTGTGAGATAGCTACACGTCTGGTCCCAATTCTTCCCATTGCCATTTTCATGGAGAATAAGAGAGGCGACGTCATCCAGAGGGATCCTCTTGAAATGAACGAAAGTGACCTCATCGTTCGCCCAAAAATCTAATTAAAAAAAATAAGCGGCCATAAGACCATCAAAGCTGCAAGACGTTCAGCCTACTATTGAGTTTTCAGTCATATGGATGCAAACCGACAACAATTAATGTACTTATTGATCTTTATATTATTCCCTTTACTAGCTTACATTGCAGCTGCATTTAAAACGGCATTTTCATGCAATTTTGCTTCTTGCTTTCATTTCCCTTATTTATTTAAAACATCAGAGCAACATCAATGAGGATATGTTTCTGGTGACTGAGCATGTACATGAATAGACATTAAATATTTTATCTCTTGAAATGAACCAACTTTGTTTCAGTACTTTGAAACATTATATGCCTATGGCACAAAATAATTTCCTAAATGAATTAACTCAATTTCCAGATTAGAGTAAATATTAGGCCTACGCAAATCCTGACAAATATGAATGCGCTACAGTTTCTGTATTCACATGTTCTCTCAATGAGGCTTTGGTTCACGGGTATTCTCCGAAGTTGAAGTGATTTGCGCGATACTGTATTTTGGGTATGGTAAGGCTGATGAAGCATATTCCTTGATTCACGTTTTGCCTCGACCTTGAATAACACTGACAATATTGTCATGTGGACTCATATTTCAGCGGACGGCTGAAATAACAGCAGCAGACGTGAAAAACAAACATAATTCCAGTTCTCCTCAGAGACCTCTGGAACTTGTTGATTCTGTAAATAGTTGAGTGAAGTACAGTGCTATGAAAAAGTATTTGCCCCCTTTCTAATTTTCTCTACTTTTGCATATTTGTGATACTGAATGTTATCAGATCTTCAACCAAAACCTAATATTAGATAAAGGGAACATAAGTGGACAAATAACACAATTACATATTTATTTCATAAACAAAGTTATGCAATACCCAATTCCCCTGTGTGAAAAAGTAATTGCCCCCTTACACTCAATAACTGGTTGTGCCACCTTTAGCTGCAATGACTCCAACCAAATGCTTCCTGTAGTTGTTGATCAGTCTCATGTCACTGTGGAGGAATTTTGGCCCACTCTTCCATGCAGAACTGCTTTAACTCAGTGACGCGTGGGTTTTCAAGCATGAACTGCTCGTTTCAAGTCCTGCCACAACATCTCAATTGGGATTAGTTCTGGACTTTGACTAGGCCATTCCAAAACTTCAAATTTGTTGCTTTTTAGCAATTTTCATGTAGACTTGATTGTGTGTTTTGGATCATTGTCTTGCTGCATGACCCAGCTGCGCTTCAGCTTCAGCTCACAGACGGATGGTCTGACATTCTCCTGTAGAATTCTCTGATACAGAGCAGAATTCGTGGTTCCTTCTATTAAGGCAAGTCTTCCAGGTCCTGAGGCAGCAAAGCATCCCCAAACCATCACACCACCACCATGCTTGACCTTTGGTATGATGTTCTTACTGTGGAATGCAGAGTTTGGTTTTCGCCAGGCATTACTGGAACCATGTCGTCCAAAAAGTTATTCTGTTGAATCATCTGTCCATAGAACGTTCCTCCAAGAGTCTTGATGCTTTTTTGCAAACTTGAGTCAACTTTTTGGACGAGATGGCATGGCGAATTCTACAGGAGAATGTCAGACCATCCGTCTGTGAGCTGAAGCTGAAGCGCAGCTGGGTCATGCAGCAAGACAATGATCCAAAATACACAATCAAGTCTACGTGAAAATTGCTAAAAAGCAACACATTTGAAGTTCTGGAATGGCCTAGTCAAAGTCCAGACCTAATCCCAATTGAGATGTTGTGGCAGGACTTGAAACGAGCAGTTCATGCTTGAAAACCCACACGCAGTTCTGCATGGAAGAGTGGGCCAAAATTCCTCCACAGCGACGTGAGAGACTGATCAACAACTACAGGAAGCATTTGGTTGGAGTCATTGCAGCTAAAGGTGGCACAACCAGTTATTGAGTGTAAGGGGGATATTACTTTTTCACACAGGGGAATTGGGTGTTGCATAACTTTGTTTATGAAATAAATGAAATAAATATGTAATTGTTGTGTTATTTGTTCACACAGTGGGGAGAACAAGTATTTGATAACCTGCAAAATCGGCAGTGTTTCCTACTTACAAAGCATGTAGAGGTCTGTAATTTTTATCATAGGTACACTTCAACTGTGAGAGACGGAATCTAAAACAAAAATCCAGAAAATCACATTGTATGATTTTTAAGTAATTCATTTTCATTTTATTGCATGACATAAGTATTTGATAAATCAGAAAAGCAGAACTTAATATTTGGTACAGAAACCTTTGTTTGCAATTACAGAGGTCATACGTTTCCTGTAGGTCTTGACCAGGTTTGCACACACTGCACTGTTCCCTTTATCTAATATTAGGTTTTGGTTGAAGATCTGATAACATTCAGTATCACAAATATGCAAAAGTAGAGAAAATTAGAAAGGGGGGCAAATTCTTTTTCATAGCACTGTCCATGTATCACCGTGAAAATGTGGGATGTTTTCCTCCTTGATTCACATGCTAAGCCCCATAGGGAATTAGAGGGTATGCACTCAAACCATCCTCAACATACAGTGTGGGAAAAAAGTATTTGATCCCCTGCTGATTTTGTACGTTTGCCCACTGACAAAGAAATTATCAGTCTATAATTTTAATGGTAGGTTTATTTGAACAGTGAGAGACAGAATAACAACAAAAAAAATCCAGAAAAACGCATGTCAAAAATGTTATTAATTTATTTGCATTTTAAATGAGGGAAATAAGTATTTGACCCCCTCTCAATCAGAAAGATTTCTGGCTCCCAGGTTTCTTTTATACAGGTAACGAGCTGAGATTAGGAGCACACTCTTAAAGGGAGTGCTCCTAATCTCAGTTTGTTACCTGTATAAAAGACACCTGTCCACAGAAGCAATCAATCAATCAATCAGATTCCAAACTCTCCACCATGGCCAAGACCAAAGAGCTCTCCAAGGATGTCAGGGACAAGATTGTAGACCTACACAAGGCTGGAATGGGCTACAAGACCATCACCAAGCAGCTTGGTGAGAAGGTGACAACAGTTGGTGTGATTATTCGCAAATGAAAGAAACACAAAATAACTGTCAATCTCCCTCGGCCTGGGGCTCCATGCAAGATCTCACCTCGTGGAGTTGCAATGATCATGAGAACGGTGAGGAATCAGCCCAGAACTACACGGGAGGATCTTGTCAATGATCAAGGCAGCTGGGACCAGTCACCAAGAAAACAATTGGTAACACACTACGCCGTGAAGGACTGAAATCCTGCAGCACCCGCAAGGTCCCCCTGCTCAAGAAAGCACATATACAGGCCCGTCTGAAGTTTGCCAATGAACATCTGAATGATTCAGAGGAGAACTGGGTGAAAGTGTTGTGGTCAGATGAGACCAAAATCGAGCTCTTTGGCACTAACTCAACTCGCCGTGTTTGGAGGAGGAGGAATGCTGCCTATGACCCCAAGAACACCATCCCCACCGTCAAACATGGAGGTGGAAACATTATGCTTTGGAGGCGTTTTTCTGCTAAGGGGACAGGACAACTTCACCGCATCAAAGGGACGATGGACGGGGCCATATACCGTCAAATCTTGGGTAAGAACCTCCTTCCTTCAGCCAGGGCATTGAAAATGGGTCATGGATGGGTATTCCAGCATGACAATGACCCAAAACACATGGCCAAGGCAACAAAGGAGTGGCTCAAGAAGAAGCACATTAAGGTCCTGGAGTGGCCTAGCAAGTCTCCAGACCTTAATCCCATAGAAAATCTGTGGAGGGAGCTGAAGGTTCGAGTTGCCAAACGTCAGCCTCGAAACCTTAATGACCTGGAGAAGATCTGCAAAGAGGAGTGGGACAAAATCCCTCCTGAGATGTGTGCAAACCTGGTGGCCAACTACAAGAAACGTCTGACCTCTGTGATTGCCAACAAGGGTTTTGCCACCAAGTACTAAGT